TAAGGAGCCCTGTAGGCTCTTGGCGGGTTCTGCCATGGCACCCGAACACTTCGGGTCCCAGCCTCGGAACCTAAACTTCCCAGTCGCAGTCGGACCACGGAGCAAACCCCAGGCGGCCATTTGCTTGAGTCCCCCACCACCACCCCCACCACACCACCCCCACCACCCCAAATAAACAGGGGAAACAAAAAAATGGTCTTAAGCAAAATTTCCAGCAGGGCCTGATAAAGCCGGGCGTCATTCTTAAGTCCGGCGTATTCGGGTGACTTTCTGTGGGCTTGACTCTCAGAACCCACCAACCGGATGCAAGAAATACCACAAGGAAGGAACCTTCCTTGGAAGAACATCGATGAAACAAGGGATTCCTCCTGAAAGGACAAGTCACTTGTCAAGCATGGGACAGTCGTGAGACCCCGACTGTGTATGTGAGCCTTTCCGGGTCTTGAATTGGCCGACCAAAGGCTCGCAAGGCTCTCGCCAGAATCCAAGAGCCAAAGTGAGTCGCCAAAGCGAACCAAAGCAGCGGTCGAAAAGACAGTTCCTCGTGGAAGCGTCACACGTTCCAGAGACTCATGACCATCTCAAAGGTATTGAAACCCGCATTTGGGATGGAGAAAAAAGAGAGTTGTCATAGGCCCAGTCTTCGAGGAGTATCCCCGACCAAACAAATGCAAGCCAAGCAAGGCGAGGGTCGACGGATTCCGGTTTGTGCGGTTGAACCGTGCCAATAGCAAGCCACCAATTCTCGAGGGTACTCCTATTCTGAGACTGCGCAACTTGAAATGAATTGAAATGGAACCCCAAACATGGCGGCTTCCGGGAAAAATATACAAATATATATATATATATAAATGGGGTTCTGAGAAGCATCCCTGCCACATGGTAGTAGTTGTTGTTGTTGGTTTTTTGTTTTTTGTTTTTCCGTCCACTGAGCATCCCTTCCAGTCCCCGGCGCTCCCGCGGCCCCGCCCCGGCCCCCGAAACCGGGGCCCCGCGCTTGTCCGCCTTGAGGTTCAAGCGCTGCATCTCCTACGAGATGTTCAGCCAGGAACCCTCACGATCGAAGGGTTGGGGGGGGGCCAGGGGGATTTTTTTCCCGTGACCCAATGGTAAGTTGTGGTAGAGACATGGTAGCGACTTCAAGACTACTGCTCTTTATGGGGGACGGGGTGTTCGGCCCAAGTTCGTGCTTTCACGCGGGACGCGGTGAAAGTGGGACTTCCTTTCCAGGCTCACTGCGACTGAGGTCAATATCCCTTTCCAGGCTCACTGCGACTGAGGTCAATATCCCTTTGTTTAGGTGTCCCTTAACTGGTGGTTGGGGTTCGTGGTTTGGATTTCAAAGGGTTCCCTTCAAAATGAACAAAAAACCGCAAAGACCCCCCCACCCACCCCCTAAATAGGGGGTAACTAGCAACTTTCTCTCAATGACATCCTGAAAAACCCACAAAAAAAGCCCAGGCCGCTTGAGAGGGGAAGCCCCAGAAGTCCCGGAAGCCACGAGAGGATCTCCTGAACTATCGGAAGGAACCCAAAAAAAGTGGGCTCCCCAAAGGCAGGTTCCTCTATCCGTATCTGCACAAGGGTGGCCAATAATATGCGGTTTGGATTGGTGCCAGGGAGTTAACACCTCCCTGGTTCAAATGAGGTTTCCCGGCTCTAAGGCACCTCACAAAACCAACCAGACAAAAACATGTGCGCTTTCATTGCATACACTCCCCACCTTCTGAGGTTCCTAGCGGAAAATGTTGGACCCCGCTTCGTCAGTTGCCGGAGTGCAAAGTCCTGTGTTTTAACTGAGAAATGCCGGCCGCAGAACACCATCCCCAAGAGTCGGCCACAGGACTCAGCGTCGTCATCGGAGCAAATGAGCAAATTGTTCCATGATACACCTGATAGATTGATGCTCCCCAAAGTGAAGCGTCGATCCCCTCATGGGTCCCAAATCAATCAGGGGTGTATTCGGCTCTGGCCTGGGGTTCAAACCACCATTCAGACCATGGGTTTAGTCAAGCCACCATGATTTGCCTATGAAGCTTCATCACCCAAATTGGGTCGACCATGTTTTTAGTGGGGTTTGAAGCCTCGGGCATGTACCCGCGCAACCCCCGGGTTCCTCCAGTATGTCCCAAGCTTCGTCCAGGTACTGGGATCCGGATCGGGCAGCTGTGTCCATGAGCAGGTTCAAGGAGGCCTGGATGGCGAGCTGGGCGGTGTCCCATCTGCCCTCTGCAGGGTTCTCTCGGGGTAAAAAATCCGAACCAATTCGGGGGGTACCGGAAAAATGACTCCAAGCGCAGCATGCGGGTGTTCTCGAAGTGGCGGACCTTTTGTTGGATTCTTCAAAGAGGAAAAAGGAAAGCAACATGTATTGCGACCCCCAATTGAAGGAAGCACCAAGTATACCAATGGGTCCAGTATATCAATGGTATCTACCATGCAAACCTTGGATTGCCAGACTGCACTCTTAAAAAAGAAGCCCAGATAGTGTGCCCTGCAGCAGCCCTTCCTTGAACCACTCCGGGGCCGAATTTGGCAAAGTACCCGAAAGCTTTCAGCTGGTGGAGGGCAACAAAAAAACGGAAGGGTAACAAGTATCACTCCTTGATTCGGTGGTCCCTTGCTTTAAGTTGAACTTTTAGTCGTGGAATATGTCAGGAGTCCCTCTAAAATCAAAATCGAAGTCTGAGGATGTTTCGACTGTGCCTGGTTTGGCTAAGAACTGGGCCGTGACATTGGAAATCGGGAGGCGGGTGATTCCCTCTCCCTGGTTTCCCCGGTCGTTGTGCGCCTTTTTTCACGCTAAACATTTACGGTTTGCTCAACACCATGACGATGAAGAAGATGGATGACCAGCTGGTGGAGGTGGACTAGAGTTTCAAGACCTTCGTTGAGAACTTCACGTTGGACCATCGCGGCAGAGATTGAGAACATGAAGGATGGGCTGAATTCTGTAGCGTCCAAAAGGCTGGCACGGGGGGTGGGGGGGCCGGCCAAACCCCCCCCCCCCCCCCCCCGGGCCCGGGCACCCCCCCAAAAGCCCGCCCGGCCGGCCTTCCCCCCCTTTGGGGTTTGGGGGGTTTGGGTTGGTTGTTGGGGACTATGCCTGCAATGGTGGAGATCCTGCAGACACTGGATGTAATCAGCAAGCTGTTGAAGGAACCATTCTGTTGGAGCAGGGGGGGGGGGGAGGCCGCTTTTTGTGCATGATCGTCTGTGTGCGGCAGGCTTGTGGCTCAAATCTAAGTGTGTGCTGGCGCTATCCGACAGCGCAGCCAAAGGATATGGTGACGTGCTGATTCTCGGCTGCAGCGCAAGTTTGATCAAGGGACCCCCGCTCCAAGAAGCTTCATCGCTGAGAAGCACTACAGGCCCTCCAGTCGCGAGGAGCTTTTGAGCAAGCAGGGTTGGGCTGGGCTCTACACCAGACACGCGATTGGCGAGTCCGAGAGTCCGTACCATCAGGCCCAGGCAACAGAAGGACCACGCTGTTCCCGGAAGGCGATGGCAGGAAGGCAGGGAAGGCAAGAAGGCAGGCATGGAAGGCAGGAGAAGGATGCCAGGCAGGCAGGCAGCAGGAAGGCAGGCAGGCAGCAGGAAGGCAGGCAGGCAGCAGGAAGGCAGGCAGCAGGAAGGCAGGCAGGCAGCAGGAAGGCAGGCAGGCAGCAGGAAGGCAGGCAGGCAGCAGGAAGGCAAGAAGTCAGGTAGGGAAGGCTGAGAGGCGGAAGAGGAAGGCAAGGCAATAAGGCAGGAGGAAGGCAGGGAAGGCAGAAGGAAGGCGGGGAAGGCAGGAAGGGTACCTGCCTGCACACGCACCAGGATGCTCACATCCGCACATGCAAGCGCACAGTCCACTGCAACTGCCTCCATCAACTTGTTGAAGATCTGAATCCTTCGGAGCCTGCCGTCCCTGCCTTACTGCCTTCCCTTTCCTGCCTGCCTGGTTTTTTCCTGCCTTCCTGCCTTCCTGCCTTCCCTTGCCTTCCTTCCTGCCTTCTGCCTGCCTCTTCCACCTTCCTGCCTTCTCTGCCTGCCCTCCTGCCTTCCCTGCCTGCCTTCTTGCCTTCCACCCTGTGAATGTTCGGCTGTGGGTCAGGTGAACTAACTTCTCCCCGAGGAGTTCTTTCTGCTTGCTCCGTCCATGATTTGTTGGTTGGGCTGGAAGACCTGAGCACCACTTCAAAACGGTGCTACCGGGCTATCCGATTGATATCGGAATGTGAGAAAACTGGGGGCTTGCTACAATGGTATCTGGAGGCTCCAATATCTCTTAAAGTGAAACCCTCAAAGTGGTTGGGGAACCCTCGAAGATCGGCACATCCACAATCACCTCTACAATTCCAGTGAACAGAGTCCCTTAACGGGCTCCCCCCCCCCGTTTCATGCGCACGTCTGCCAAAGGAAACACGTCTGCCACGCACAGCGCCTCATTGGGCGTCAGGCCGAACCGTGGCATCTCGTTGCGGAGCCTCTGGGCCTATGGATCAATGCGATGGATGCGACAGAGGGAGTCGGAGTGAACGCAAAAGCCCTTGAACGGGGTTCCGCGATTCGAATCGCGGGAAGGATGCATCCAAACACAACCTGCTGAAATCAAGCAAGTTTTCTACGTCAACTCGGAAAGGTGATTTGTCAACATACAAACTATTTGTATCCTTCAAAGGGCATTGTTGGGATCAACAGTTTTCTACTTTGCACCTCCAGCAGTGCCCCTTTTCTCAGCTTTTGCTTGGAGCGTGCAATGCCTTCAACATCGACGACCAAATCAAACCCCCCTTGTTTGGAATGGAAATCCACTGGGTGTGGGATTCAGGTTGGCAAAGTCCAGTACCCTTCCACCAACAAACATGGCTTGGTACACGGGAACTGTTGCCAAAGATAAAACCGCCTTCTAAAAGCGAGAAGCGGCCCCCGTGCACTTTCACATGCTAAATGTATCAAGAATAGGGGGCCTAGATACTTTTGTAGTAGGTCACCAGGTCACCCGGTAATTTCTGGAAAGGAGGTCACAACGCCTGCTTCAAAAAACAATTCGGCTACAACCATGCTTAGTTCTCAGAAAGAATCCTGGCTACACGTTTACAACCTGACTAAGTGGTATGAACACCGAAGAAGAAACCTCACCCAAGAATCCAAATCGGATTGCATGTGGGCAAGCCGTTTGGTATGTACGCGAAAGGGAACCCGAAAACTGAGGAACTCACAACCAGTGTGTCTTACTTACAATGGTATATAACTGTAAAGAGGCATTGTCACATGTCCTACTAAGAACAAGATAGAACAAGTGAGGGGTTCATCAAAGTAGTCCAGAAATACCCCCAAACTCCGAATCCCCAAATTCAGGTTGCGCAGGATTTCACATCCCCCTCAGAGCGTTTGGATTTTTTATTTTTTTTTCGGGAGGTTCCCAACAAAGAAGGCTCAACCAAAACTCTCCGCGGTCCAATCACGGCAAGCTGCTTCTGGGTTTCATCAGGGTCGCCATTCCACCGAATGGGCACATGTCAAATGTTGGTTTCGCCAGCCAAAGGAAGCCTCTCCAATTTGCTCGCCGGTTCTATGGGAGGCGGCAAGTCACGTGAAAAGCCCCAAAGGCGGGGCTGTTGGAAAGCGACCACCAATCCACTTGAAGCTTCGTCTGACGGAAAAGCCGGGGGCAAACCGAAATCCATTTCTAAAGGCCTTGCCGGAACGAGTCGGAGCAACCCTGCGTTGCCACCCGAGTGGTTTTTGGTGGGAAAATTGGACGTGGAATATTTGTCGTCCCCTTGGGTTTGTGAGACATGTGAACTGAGTCCTGGTTTTGCTGGCCGAAGACCCCCCTGCGTCCCTCCCGAACGCACCATAGACTGCCGAATATTCTGAGCGAACCTGGGAGAAAAGGCAAAGCTTCAGCCATGTGGACTTATATTTGCTGTAAGGTAGCTTCAAAAGGACAAGTGTGTTGGAAAAGCACTTGAGGAACTGCGCTTGGAAGGCCATTCTGCCATTCTCCTTCACTTCGCGCCAGGTTGGGACTGATTGATCAAGCAGAAACATTCCTTCAGACTACAACAGGGATCCTTACATTATACACCTGAGCATTGCCTTGTACATGGTGGTTTCCCTTTATTTCGGTGGAGGAAGCCATGTTTCAAATGGTTGCAAAATGTATCTTTTGAGGAGCCCTGCACAACTGCAACCATGCCTCAGCTTGGAGAACTTTGCGAACCAACCGCAAGCCGCAAGCCGAAAGCCGAGCCTCCCTGAAGTTGTTCCGGGCAAGAAGCCCGCGCAGCATTGCCTAAAACTTGTTTGCGCCAGGCCAAGGTGAGTCGCAATCAAAACCCGGTATTAAGATGATCTACCCAGAACCATGTAAAGAATTAAGCCGGAGTTCCGCGGCTATGTCTGGCTGGGACCCCTTGCTAACCTTCTACCCGAATCGGTTTTGAGCAAGTGGCCCAGGTGTTTTGAAACGATGCAAGGGTCCCCTGAGAAAGCCTTGGCTAAGGACCGAGGCTTCCCAGGCCACAAGGGTTTTGGGGGAGCCTTTGGTTTGGGTTCGGTTTGAACATTCGTCGGTACATGCGAATAGAACCAAACTGCACATTGAAGGGGCACCGACGCTTGCAGGGCTTACCTTGGAACCCGCCTTCACAAAGCTGGCCGAGAGGGAATTGTAAGCTCTATTTGTGGTTTCGGGGTTTGATAACCCCCCATTCTTAAAAATACATCGAAATGCTTGTGGGCGAGCGTGGAACCAAAACAACGCATCCACTTTTGGAGCCCGTACGCCTCCAGGCAATTTGAATGATGCTGTGGGCGGGTGGGGGTGGGGTTGGGTTGGGGGTGGGGGGGTGAATGATAACATCACTCTCCTCTTGGTGTGTTCCAAGCAGGAGGTGCAGGGGACACAACCGCCAACCACAACACCCGGTCTGCCGAGCCCAATTGTATCGGGTCCTAAGCATCTGGCCAAAATCAAATGCGGTTTCTTGGTTCTAGAACCGGTGGGAAAAATTGGACCAGCACCTGCAACCTCCCATGGTTTCGAGAAACATGAGCGCGCTACCATTGCGCCATGGCCCCGTTGCAAGTTCCGATGAGCTGAGGCCCAAAAAAGTATTTCATCCCATGGTTTCGAGAAACATGAGCGCGCTACCATTGCGCCATGGCCCCGTTGCAAGTTCCGATGAGCTGAGGCCCAAAAAAGTATTTCATGTAGGAAAACGCTGACGTCCTGAAGGATAGCCATGGGTTTACGCATTTTTGACCTTCATCTCACTCTGTCAGCGGGCAGTCTCCTGCGCGCTTCCAACCCAGAGCTCCTACGAAACCAGCGGGGAATGACCAGGAGCCTGCTCAAAACCGGAAACGGAAGCAACGCATCAAACCACCCAGGGAAAAGGAAGGGAAAAAAAAGGAAGACTTGGCTCAAAGTGGTCTGATTCCGCTTGGTTTCAGAAAAAGTCCGGGGGTCTCAAAACACGACGCGCCGCGCCGAGTCGCATTGAAGGCTGCCGGGCTCACAAGGCGAGCCTGGGCTTCGAAACTTCAGAGGTCCGCTGGGCGCGTCGTTTTTTTGTGTGGGTACCTTGGCTCCGGCAGCTCCAAGCGAAAAACCAAAAGGAGAACCACATTTTTTGGGGGGGGGTCCGTTTGAGCAAAAACCTTACTAGTAGGAGAACCACAGCTCCTTTTTTTGGGGGGGAAGGTCCGTATGTTGAGCAAAACCCTACTAGTGCCATGCTTTTGACCAGCCATTCATAAGGGCCGTATTGTATATATGTTTTTTTTGGAATGGGGCCGAGAGACTAGCATCAAGCCCTAAGTGGAATGCTCAATTGCCTCTCAGCTATGGCACGGTTTCCCCAGCACCAAGGAGTCCCAAGAACACTCCTGGTTGAAATCTTCCAGATGCAGCTGAAAACCAAATCTGCAATGAACCATTCTCAAAGCCACGAAACCATAAACTAGTTTCTGACTTTGAGCCCCAACAGAACCAACATACTCTCGGCCACAAACATGGAACCTCACTGGCGGGTCCTGGAAGACCACTTTCCTCCAAAAGCAGCCCCTGGTGGGTTCCATGGCAACGTGGACCAGAGGGTACTGAGCCCAGAATGACACCCGTGGTCGTCGGAAATGTGCGTGGTCGTCAAAAATAGGGCAACCCCAGAATGGCTTGCCCTGGTACATGGCGACAAAGACATTCAAACCTGCGGTCCCGGTCCCCTGGTGGCTTAATTTTGACCCAGACCCATATGGTGGTTTTGTTGGTCCCTCTGTTAACCAGGGTAAGCAGGGTATAAAAAGGGTAACCCTGGAGAAAGCGCGCACACACACAGGTAATCACACAGGTAATCACACAGGTAATCACACAGGTAATCACACAGGGTACCCAAATCGAAACGGTCTCAGGTGTGGGCGTCAGAGCTGGCTTTGAGCTCATCCAAGAAGCTCTTCGCCTGGAGCAGAAGATCCGACAACCGCGTCCAACTCACAAGGTCTGGGTGGGGCGTTCCAAAACCCAAACGGCGCCATGAGCGCTGTTTTGTCAGTTGCTCAACATTTGGGTATGGGTCAAAATCAAACCACCAGGAATTGGACCGCAGGTCTTAGTCTACTTTTCCTTTTACCAGGGTTCCATTTTGGGCCCTTATTTTTGACCAGCCATTTTTCCAGTCAGGTCTCAAAAGGCCAAACCCGACCTCGCGGCTGACATTGGCTGGACTCCGCAAGCCGGGCGACTGGAGTCGAATTGGATCCAGTGGTCTTCCTCCATTTAGGCCACACAAACACAGGCACACCTTAAAACCTGGACATGGACCCCCTCAGTCCCCTCCCAGTGAGCATCCCTTGTTTCCTTGGGGATCATCAAACGATTCATGCCCAAGACCCCTCTTCTTTCAATACTAAGACAGGGATCCGGATGCATGAAAAACACCTGAACATTGCAACTCGTGAATAGTTGTTTTCCAACTTTAGTTTGGTGTTGAAGAAGCAACATGTTTCAAATGGTTGCAAAATGTATCTTTTAAGGAGCCCTGCTAAAACGCCCACCTTAAATCGAGAAGAAACCCCCATGTCCGGATCTTGTGAGCCTATCCATTCAACCCCATTACCGAATCGACCGGTACAAGGTCAAACATTGGCCAGGGAAGGGCCCACCACCCTAGTTTCCTCCAAGGAAACTAAAGGAGGCAAATCATTGCCCTTGTGTGTTGTTTGGTCAGCATTTCGGGTTAGGGTTTAGGGTTTAGAGTTTAGGGTTCAGAAGCCCTCATCTTCTTCGATCCGCCCAAACACACTTCCGAGACTTAACAAAAAAATGACTCGCCGGTGCCTGGTCTAAATTGTCGGAGTTCGCACTGGTTTCCAGGTAGTAGTGCCTCGGATTTTGCTCGGATTGCCCAGCCAAGCCAAGCCCATGGAGCCCTCCGAGCCGTCCGGCTGGGCGTTTTTTGGGAACCTTCAGCATGGCTTTGCGGCTCCATGCCGCCAAGAACCCAAAAAAATCGTTGGAGCCTGCGAGTCAAAGGCCATCAAAGAGAAAGACTCGCGGACTCATCCTCTCTCAAAACTTTGACCAACAAAAATGCCGGCCCATGGTGGATGCCCCGAACTTTGCAAGCCCCATCCTCCCACCAAACCATGGTAAGATACCGACAATCCGAGGGTTTTCCTTCTTCCATTGCAACTTTCCAGGCATCGACCGTAGGGAAGGCTCGCTCTTCCACTTGGGCCATGTGCGCCCCCAGAATTGCCCAGAGGGCAACACTTCCAGGACCTTCTGCGCCTTTCTCATAGCGGCAACGAAGAAGGGAGCCCGGACCCGCTCTGGATCTTAAGAAAACAAAGGCCAAACCAAGCAAAAGAGGGAGTTTGTTGCAGCACAAACATGGCAAATGACTATAATTCTCAACTGGAAATAAGGGACCCCCCCACTGTAAAGGACCTTCATCATTGGTGAGCTCGTTTCACCCGGAGTGAGCTCGTTTCACCCGCAACTTGCCCAGAAAAGAGAAACTAATCAGAGGGAAGCATATCACTCGCCAACAGAAAGCCTAACTGTAAAATCAGCACAAGGTGTACTATGCAAGGGGGAAATATATTGTAACCCAACCATGAGACTAGTTCAAGCAACCTAACCCAACCCAACCCAACAAACCCCCAACAATACTTGCGAACGTCGAAGCTTCCGGTTCCATTCCTTCAGGGCTGTGAATGGAATCCACTGTGATACAACAAGGGCCTAACCCCACAGCCCATGTTGTATCACAGAAGTGGATTTGCTCATATTGGGATTCCCTCTCACAGAAGTTGGAGAAACCCAACCCATAACCCACAACTTCCTTCGTCCAACTCCTTTGACTTCGCTTCGCATAAGCCGAGCTCGGCGCAGCATGGCGCGGAGACCGCCGAAGGCCTGGCAGGCGAGAAGGATTTTTCTCGTGCACAAAAAGTGGAGCCTCGGTACCCGTCTTCGGGATCGTTTTTGAAAGGAAACTTTTGGCTTTCACCTTGGATACGGAAACCACGGCAGAACGAAAACCACTTTTTGCGGTCCCCCTGCTTTGCCACGTCCTCACCAACCTTGGTCCAAGGAACCTCAAAAGCTTCCTGCCGGCCCGGAGCCCTGTCGCAGAGACGTGCACTTTCAGCGCCGAAACCTGCCTTTCACTTGGGCGAACCGCTCATTCAACTAGCCAAGGCCCGAATCAGGGCTCACTTTTGGTGTGCGCTTCGCCCAGGCGGAACGCACCCCTTCTCGCGCCTCTCGTTGACAAATTGTGATTTGGAATCCTTCTTAATTTGTGAGCAGGTATGTCAGGTGCTAATCATGGCGGTGCTGTGCAGGTTCAGTCAGCAAAAACGTGATGGCTCCCAGTAACCATCCCTTGTTTCCTAGGGCATCACAAACGATTCATGCCCAAGACCCCTCTTCTTTCGATACTAAGACAGGGATCCTTACAATATACACCTGAACCTAGAGGAACCACTACCAGTGCTTGGGATTCCACTTATGGTCGCACAAAAGGGTCTCCCACACGCGTGTAACATCCTTTGGGTTCATGAAACTTCAATCATGCAACATGCCGCTTAGCTTTCGGGTTGATTCCGTGTCCACTCTCTTCGCCCAGCCATCTTTTCAGAACACTTTCTGAACAGTGAGAATGGAAACGGCCTGTTTGCCTCTGAAAGCGGCAATTGGATCAGCCAATGTCATGTTTTTGCTGGGGTGTACCCTAAACCCTACACCCTAAACCCTAAACCCTAAACCAAGAGCTCCCTCCTGACACCCGTCTTTTGTTTTTCCCCCCATGAAACCCAAACCCATCGCCTCTTTGGAGCGCGCGCGGTTGCCCACCGCCAGGCGCACCTGACTGGGGGCTTCCGTCAGGGGACAGTTCGGGCGAAACGCCAAAAAGAAAAATCCGCGGCGGTTCGAGCCCACCAAACGCTTGGCCCCCACCAAACGCCAAAGCGGCTAAGAAGCAAGACAAAAGGTTCCTTTCGCTTCTCAGAAAGTGAGAGAAGAAGCCCCGAAATGAATCATCCCGGGTGACTTGTCGGCGTTTCCCTTCGCGTCCAAACCACGCTGGAACTGCATGCATCGGAGAAGTCATGACACCTGACTTGTTCTCGAGGTTAATTGGTTACTCTCCAAGGGTTGTCTCTTTTTTGATTACCTAGAGGTGTTGATTCCCGAAAGCCTGGCCCGTTGTTTCCCTTTCTTTCCCTTTCATTCCCCTGCCCATCAAGCGCCCAGAATGACAGGCTCTAGAATGACAGGCTCTGGTGCCCTAGGTGTTCTGTTGGCACTGCAATCTATCACATATGCAGAGCCCGACACAAGGGATGAAGTATCTTTCGCGTCTGGAGTCACGGAATGGCAGCCAGTCCTTGACGCAACTAGCTGGCGGCCATCTTTGGCTTGCATCATCCCGAATCCCATTTGTGTTCTCCAACCAAACAGGAAATTTGGACCAAGCCTATGTTCAGAAGGGGCAGCTCGGCTCCACCGGGGATATGGGTCGACACGTATCTCTCCCTTCCCTGAAAGGAAAATCCCTCTTAACCCCACCAGTCCAAATCTCCAATTTTGAGGCCTTGGGAAGGAATGAAATACCCTCCCATTAACCTGGAACCTGACGTTTGGGGTCCCGGTCCCGGTTTGGACCATTTTCCTTTTCAAGGGACCAGGACCTGAAAATTGCTGGGAGGGTATTCCCCCCCCCCGCTTCCCCCTCCCTCCTCCTGCTTCTCCAGGCACCCAAAAAACCGACCAGCGATCTGGGCTGGAAAAAGCGGACCCCGGCAAAAAATACATATCTCTTTTTTGCCTGGTGTGTGGAAAACAAAGGGACCCCAAAAAAGCCTCAAAAAAAAGAAGAAAACAAAAGGGGGAGCTAATTCTGGGGAAGCGATCAGACCCGGCCTGTCGAAAGGCCTCCTGCGCCTGCTCCGGACGGTTCTCCTGGATCGCCATCAGGAAGTCCTGGGGATTTTTGGGTCGAGTCGAGTCGAGTCGACGCAGGTGTTTGAAGGCGCTATGTGGCTTTACCTGTTGCATTTCCAATCATCAGGGATGTAGGTCTTTGAGACTTTTTTAGTCGTCCAGCGCCCTTCTGTGCACTTCCAGGTGATGTGTGCTTCTCTTTGCAAGGGATTTAGAGGGGAATGAGAAATGAAATGGAACCCGGAAGTTTCTTTGGCTTCAACTTGGGCTTCCTTTCCGGGTATAAGAGAACCAGCAAGGCGAGCCGATTTGCAGTTGAAATCCAAGTCGACTGACTAAAAACAAAAAGTGTACGCGAGAGAAACCTGTAGCCCACCCTGCAATGGCTTAAGCTAGCTTAAGCTATGTAAATCACAAGTCGACGAAAGATCGGCGCCGTCCTGCACACCCTTGGCGGGCAGCGCCTGGCTGGGAAATTGGGTTCCAACAACGGCGCATCGGATTACATGGATCAAGCATCCCATTTGCCTAAGTCCCTTGGAAAAAAATCAAAACAACCAAAACTCCCAGTAGTGTGGTTGATTCTTCAAAACCAACAGGGGAAGATTCAAGTCCTCTGGAAGTCAGAGAAAAGTCCGTCCGTTCCCGAAAGGGTTCCAAAGGCTATTCCCTCTTCCATCCAATAGGGCTGGCTCCTTAGATGCCTCACCTCAGCTGCAAACTCGCGCCAGGCGCAGCGAAACCCTCTTCGGTTCCAACGAGTCTCCCAAATCTACAGCCCTTGGTCAAATGGGCTTCAGGGGATCTGTGGGCCTGCTCACTTCCCAAGTTGACTGGCCAAAAAAAGTCCGAACTTTTTATTTACCACTCAAATGGTCTTTCCAAAAAGTTTAAAGTCCATCAACTCAGGAAGTGAGCCTGTGGATAAGCCTGTGGACCACCCACCCGCGAGGTTTCAGCTCAAGTCGCTTGGCAAGTCCTGGATGGCACAGCCAAGCGCCTGTGAGCAACCTGGCGCTCTATTGGTAGTTTTGGGAGAAGAGCGCAAAACCTGGATGGTTGAAAGGTACAAATTGCTTTCCTGGGGGCTATGTCTTTTTTTCCAGAGCTGGAACCCAACTCAGGTGGACCTTTCCATCCCCGAAGTCTCTCCACCATTTCGGGCCTGCCTTCAGGCTGCTCGCCGAGGGTGCGGTGGGCCGTGCGATCACCCCGTGCCTCGATAGGCAGTAGGCACCCGTGCAATCCAAGCGGGGTTGTCAATCTTTACGGTTCGGACACCCCAACATAGCTGTATTCCGGTTGGGTTTCCCTGTTGAGTTTCCCTGTAGACACCCTCAAAAAAAGGCATACCCAACCGGCGTCTAGATACTGCAAGTACGGAACCAAGAAACCCGGTCATCTTTTGTGAATGGTGATGTGTGGTCCTTTTTTTTGCAATGTTGGAGCAATGGAATCCAATATGGCTGTGGCTCACAAAAATGTACCAAAATTGCACCTTGGTAAATGGAACCAAAGACTAAAACCTGCGGTTTGCCCTAGCGAACCTGAATTTTGAGCCACGCCCATATACCGCGAACCCAGTGCGCTTGAAACCTGTTGAGTCCGATGTCATGCTTCGCTGACCATCAAATTTACCCCAGAGAATCCGGTCGGTCGTGTGACGAAGTGTTTAGCGAACCCCGCAAACCATACAAGTAGCCGTAAAATGCTCCAAGTCTCTAAGTGGCCGATGCATAGGCCGAAAACTGCCCAACTGCGTTGCTCCAATGGCTACCTCCCAGAATCTTGCGGATCCTCTTTGGCCGACAGTCAAGCCAGCAAGTGGTAATTAGTGCGCAGCTGAGCATGACAATGCCGATTAGACAAGAGCCATTGCCCAAACTAAAGCATGGCCGCTGGAAATCAAAAGGATCCAGGAACAATCAATGCACGCAACCGCTACTACCACATGCGCGCGCACACACACACACACACACACCCACCCGCGCGCGCTGTGGCTCCATATGCCTGAAACCACAAGAGGCTTCAAGTGCAAAATCGGCCAGGCAACGACTCTTTCAAGGTCCCGGAGTGTGTTCTTCCAAAATCAGTTTGAAGGGGAAAAGTGATTTACACCACCTTTCTGGTGCCACAATCCAGCTTTGGAGGGGAAAGGTGATACTTGCGAGGATGTCTTTCTCGATGCCACAGGCCCTCTGGTGGCAAAGGCAAGCCGGGAACCCGGCAATGACGGCCTCGAGGTCCTGAATCCTGACAGACACCCCGACAGGATCCTTTCATGATCCTTGCAGTTTGCGGAGAAGTTTCCCTTTTTTCGAGTACTGGTGGGGCCTCCACTCGGGAAGGCACAGAGTCAGTCCGGCAGCCCTCCGCGCATGCCCTCAAAAGGCAGAGGCAAGATCGAACACGCCTCCAGCCAACTGACATTGCTTTGTGTTAGACATCGTTAGGTTCACAATTGGTGAACCCAAAAGAATGAGTTGAAGTGACTCCTCTGCTTCCCTGAGTTTTGATAGCCCCAAAACGTGCAAAATCTGGAGGCGAGAGCTTTCTGAAGAACATGAGAGCTGGCACTCACCGAACAGGTCAAGACACCAGATCCTTCAAATGGGTCCGACAAGAGCGGGGAAAAACCGATCAGTTCTTGGGGCCCTAGTTGCTGGGCAAACTCAAAAGAAGGGCCCCTTGTTGATGGTGTTTGGAAGGGAAGCAACTCTTTTGCCACGTGTGAGTCAACTTATAAAACGGATGGGTTGCGAAGCACTTGCCTGATGCTTTGTCCAGTGACAGGGACGCAGAGTTTTCCACCCTCCCCCCACTCCACCCCTTGCACGCCTTCCCGGGCGGGAGGATACCGCGAGCCCTGGCGAGCAAATCCGAGTCTGATTTCATTCGAAGCTACCAGGGACCCCTAAAAGCGGGCCACGAGAGCGGCAAGGAATCCAATACTTGAGGGGTGAGTGGGTCGCATGGGGAGCCATTTCAGCCTTCCCTGTCAAAGACCACATGCGCAGGCAACCAATCCTCTGCCAATCGCATTGCGAGAAAGAACCTCCGTGTGCTCTCCATCACCAGGATGATCAACAGAAACAATGCGAGCAGGGTCTTTCCGGCTTTGCCGCTTGACGCCCCTTGTGCAAAAAGCTGTTGTATTCTCCCCCTGTTCATCAAAAATGTGGTAGTTGCTGCTTGGACAATGAAAACGATGGTAGTCCAATCCCTTTTCTCCAACGACGGTCCTTCTTGTTTGGCGTTTGAACAGGCCAGGCCAGGTTGCGCCAACTGCGAGAGGACTGGACTGTTTGGCAATCCTGAAAATTACCCATGGTGCCTTTTTAAGGGGACCAAGAAGAGAAATTTCGAACTCTGAATGGATATGTTTTTTGAGAGTACCCTTTTCACCCTGGATGTATTCATTAGCAGTTTGGGGAAACAAAAGAACGGCAAACAACTCCAAATGACGGTTTCAAAGTAAACCATCCGAGACAAGAGTAACTCTGAGAACCCCTCAAAAATCAACATTCCAGGCCCGCTTGAAGGAACTCGGGAGTCAGACTATTCTCTGGGAGACGATCATCAAAAACGTTCAGCGAAATTGAGAAATGGCTGTCCCAGTGCGTCCAGTTGCAATCATAGTAGGAAACCAAGAGAAACTTCCATTTGCAAACTTGAGCGGGAACAATTGTGTAGTGACTTCCCCATCAGACCAGGCCCTTTGTTGAAGTTCCAGGGACCGGAAAACCACCCCCTAAAACACGTCAAACAAAACTAGCTGGCACCAGAGGGAGCTCCACAGCCCCATTTCTCCAACCAAAGATACATGTAAACTTGTAAACCCAGGGTCGTTTTTTCCCCACAGCCCTGACCAAAATCCCCCTGCCCTCCTTTCCCCACGCGAACCACGCCTTCTGCCGACCACCTGGAAAGGAGCCTAGCGGGACCAAGCGACCAAGCGACGGGCCAGGGCATGACCTTGCAAACCTGCGGATGCGATGAAAACCAAAGGATGGCCTTCAAGATTTGGATACGTCAAAATAGCATGATATTATTTTTGGGCAGTGTCCCTTTGGCTTCTCTAAACCAACCCCAAATCAGAAAAACCGCACACCCATATGAAAACCCAACTGTATGAGGTTCCAGCAGGTTGCCCACTTTTGGCTGGTCCGGGAAAAAAAAAGGAGGAGGAGAGCAGGGCCATCTTTAAAATTACTTAGGCCAACTTGACCGAGAAGGTTTGCGGGGGGCCAAAACATGCTTTTCGCTGAGCAAGGTGTGGTGAACTAACAAATGGCGGTCCCCAAGAATGACTGCTTGAAACAGGGGCCATGGCATTGACAAGGCACTGACCGAACTGCGCCGGGTGACTCCTCCCGGGGCAAACACACAAAAACAAACCCTCTCAAAGAGGAAGAAGGTTCCCGCGAAAGGACGCGTAACATCGCTGGTTTCAAGAGGAGCCCCTGAAGCTTTCTTGTGAACCTCGGATTCATCTCAAGGACCATGCTCATCCGAGGAATCCACAAAAGGGGGTCCCATGCCCCCTTTTGGTATGGTCTTGAGTTGTCCGAGTTCGACAGTGGCTTCCTCATTTAAGCGTAGTCCTAAAATTGAACCAATAGTTGCTGTTGAGAAGCTTGAACCACCGCCGAAAGGGGAGGAGAACATGGCTCTCACTCTGACTTTGCATCTGGAGCGCCATCAAGCATGCTTGGTGGACATAAATTCCCAGGCAAATGATGTCCACCAAGGGCATTTCCACACTAAACAAAATAGAACCAAAACACACTGCCCATACGGGTGCTCTTCTTGGGTGGAAACCCTTTTAGGTTGCTATTCAAGCAAACCATGTTGGGTTCCGCTTTTCAGACAAACCACACAGCTCGACTTCAATCAAAGCTGACTTCCTGGATGTTCCTGGATGTTCGACCCACTTGGTGAATAGGTGTAAGCGTGGTTACAACGAGGGGGGTTACTGGATCTATAAGAGCATGGTGATAAGCTAAACCAAGTTGAGTCAAACCTTCCCAAATCGGAAGCACGTCCAAGCAACTTGGGAAGCAAAGTTTTTCCAAAAGCAGGGCAACGACGTTCTGCGTGTACAACATTTTGCCAGCCCTTTCGGGAATGGTGCGCTTTTGGAGCATTTCCTACCTGGAAAAAGGTGCCAGACCAACCAACCTTCTTGAAATACGCGGGTTGTGTTGTTCAGGGCGCCGGTGGTTTCAAAGGAAAGCGTTTCCAGGAAAACCGCCCGACTTGCAGCTCATTCACATAAACCCATTCACATAAACCCAGCCAACCCGCGCTCGAGCAAACAGCAAAACCGCGTCAGCCAGACTCTCAGGCCCCCCTCCCCGAAACCGCCTGCTTGCAGGCCGAGACTTTCCTCCAGATCGTCGTCTAAGGCATCGCAGGCCTCGCCTGGCAAGCCGAAAGCCGAAAGCACGGGGGCAGGCGGCAGGCGCCTAGGGGGGCTCCTTCGTGAAAAACGTACGGGCTTCCCTGAAAAAACGAAAACCAGAACCTGCGGAGGTGCCCTGGTCCGCGGGCGCTCAAGAAAACAAAACACTTGGCCGCATTGATTCGAGGTCAAGATGCTTGGCATCCGCAAACCACTCGATCGAATCACCGCCTTGTCTTTCCCGCTCAGCTTGGCATATTGCCTCGAAAATTTAGGCGACCATGTCGACCATTTCTGTCTCAACATTGGTAAACCCCTAAACCCAGCCAAAGATTGATATGGAACTCAAGAGGACAGTATGTTCAAAGTATGGCATTGGGATTTTTCAAAGACGAAGGAACACCAAGCGGCTGGAGATCCAATTCAGGGGCCCCTGGCGGCAAAACCGCTTTGTGTCTACAGTGTACAGTTAGCCTCCTACATTGTGTTGTTGCCTTGTGTGTTTTTGCCGCTGTCGTTGTTGTTGTTGTTTTTTGTGGAACCCAAAGAACTCATTTTTAAAAATATGCTTTTGGTGTTGATCGCTCACACGTCAAGCCGCATGAGGCCCCAGACACGCATGGGAAAGCCGCCAATGGGAACCCAAGAACCTTCGAGGCTTTGTGGGATGTTTTCTCCTCTTCACTTCCCTGGGTTTGTTCTCGTTGAAACCCTAAAGGGTCGGTTCCCTGATGTCGCCCTCAAACCAACCAGCTGGAGGCAGCCGTGGGAAAGCGGTCCGACAAGAAGAAACCAAGCCGAAACTTGGTCAATGTTCAACCCTCGACCTAGGATTCAAATCGTGTCTACCATTGTCAGGGCAATGTGAGATGGCTCTTTCAACAAACGCGAAAACCCACGGATTTGTAGTTTCTTACACAGAGACGTAAAGCACATAGTCACAGGGAACCAAACCCAAAGCCGCTGATTCTCTATGGAGGCCATATGGAACAAACTTCCCACAGGCCGTATACAACCCCGGGTCCGGACCCAAAATCACAGGTGCGGTTCATTCACCGGGGCTCTTGCGCATGCGGTGCCCGGACCGAGATCCATGTTTCCCGTTCAACATCTTACGTACGAACAATATCTAAAGAGAGCAAGAGGGGGAATACAGTCACGGAATCTTCGGGGGGGTATTGGGGGGGGGGAAATTATCCCTGGATAAGCCCAGGATAGCCAAAGGATAGGCCCTTAATAAGGCCTTATTCCAGGGCTGTATAAGGGATAGCCCCCCCTCCCCATAGCTTTTCTTGGGGGTCCATGATACTGGGAGCCTTGAAAGAGAAGAAACCAGCGGTGAAATCCACCAACAAAGTGTTCCTGCGTGGCGAGCCCCAAAGTCCCGATGAAAGGTGGCTAGCGGCGAGCGCTTCCAGAGTTTTTGTAACTTCAGGGATCCTTCTTCCCGGAAATCCACCAGAATCCGTCGAAGACTAGATTTGTTTGAACAGGAACGATGGTTAAAAAGATGATGGGGTAGTCAAACAGAGATACCGAATCGCACAATCACAACATAAGGCGCCAGCAGACAGAGTCGCAAAATGATGCCTGGCGCAGCAACAAGAATTGCCACGCATCTGCCCACATCTGTCTAAGCCAAACCACTGCACCTCCATGAACCACGGGATGTATTTTCACACTGCCCTGCAGACTTTTCCGTGGACCCCAAAAGTGGGTCCATGTCCCAAGAGATTCCTCTACAAACAAACGGGTTTGCCAGGTTCCACGTTAACCTGCAGTGCTGCAGAGGGCACAAACGAAGGCCATCAACTCCATTTCCCCTTGGGGGCGATGGCTCAGGTAGCGGAATCCCTCTTGGAATCTGACTGCCGGATCGGCAGTCAGAAAGCTAACTGGCAAAGCACCTGGACTAGCCGAGATGGCTGAGCAGCTGTTCCAAAAATAATAAGACAGGTTTGTGCACCGTGTTTGAGGTATCTGCTTTGGGCCAAAAAAAAAGAAAGAAGAAACAAAAACATGCGATGGAGAAATGAAACACGGACTTCTGACTGTGGCAGCGGCATGAATGAATCCCCTTGACGGGTGCGAGACAAGCAAACAATTGGACTTATAGGTAGGTCACAATCCAGGCGACCAACCACTTGCTAAAGTGACCAAACACCTAAGCAGGCTCTAGCTGGGCAAACTGGAGCAATCCACAAATTGGAAATGAGGGGAGCCCGCAAGTAAAGCACCTTCATTCTGTGTGAGCGTGTCTTAATTGCCATCTTTTTGTTGGCTTTCAGTCTTCCGCATATGGACCGTATGGATCTGCATTACTTCACTTCAGGAGAAAATGATGGGCCCCCGGAAACCATCCAAGGAAGGGGTCCTCATTTTCAGAGACACGTGCAACCAGTCGAACGGCGCAGCGAGTTTGGGTACAACCGTGACTTAAGGTTCACATGTGCTTCATAAGTTTAAACCAAGGGAGTAGTCCCCCCACTAAAATGGGTGTGTGGGCTGTTTCAAAGGGAAACTTGGAAACCGAAACGAAACCCCCATGAAACCGTGTAGAACCAACCAACCACTTCAATGTAACGAACTCGCAGGTTCTTTGGAGAACACCACTGCTCAGCGACTGCAGCTTTGCCCCAGAACCCAACTCAGCCAATGTTCTTTGATCGATTCAGAGCTGCACAAATCGCCTAATCCCACAAGACAACAACTTCGGTAGGGGTGCTGCAAGTGGGATATGGAACCACGAATATAGGGCCCGGTTTTCTTTCGGATGCTCCTGAAGACGACCTCGAATAAAGCACCCTCAAAGACAAAACACCTATAAAGTGATCTGTAGCTGATTCGCAAACGGAACATGGCAATTGCACGTGACGATTTATCCCAAAAAGCTACCGTTGGATCAAAATCAATCCTGGTATCCCAACTCTGCCTCAGGAATGCATATAGCTTGATTGATCTTAGACTGGTTTTCCTGCGCCCCCCCCCCCCCAACGCAAAAAATCAAACATAAAAACGGGGGTCTCAACAATTAAATAGTCGGTCCAAAAGGAAAGGCACCCAAGAAGGGCCCCCAAAAAAAACAAAAAGGGAAGAGACCCCGCCCCGCCCCCCCGCCCCCCCGGAACAAAAAAGTAAAGACGACACAACCAAAGACGGCCAAATAAAACAGAGAAATGCAAACCAAAAAAGGGTTCCAAGAAACGCCAACCAAAGCGCGGCCCAAAACCTATGCTTTCAAAAAAACAACGAAAAAAGGCCTAGCAGGAGCAGGAGCCCCAAAAATAAAACCAACCAGCGCGGGCGTCCCAAAGACCCCGTTGACGCGACTGAGGTTCCCACCCTGGAAGTCGCCGCGGACGCGCCCGCGAGGCCTCAGCGGAAGTGGCTGCAGATGCGAGGAGACAATCCGAAGGTCCGTGTCCCGAACGATGAGGGGGGGGGGAGGCACCCAGTTGAGTGGAAAAGGAGGAATCAATGCATTGTTGCATCTTGTTAACAAGAGTGACCCGATACCGGGGGCAAAAAAGGCAAACTGGGGCAGTTGAAGAGACTTCAGTGGGTACCTTGGAAAGGAAACCACAAGAAGCCATTTGCTGGGGCTCTGGGTGGCAAGCCATTGCAGGTTACCGACCGAGAAGGACCAAAACCAAAACCCCAGCCTTGGAGCTCCTAGCTGCCTTGCAGGTACCATGGATTTTTCGGCTTAGGTTTGTGACGCCTGGCTGCTCTGTATGACCTTCTGTAATGGTACTGCAACTGGAAGTATTGGGATTACCCTACTTCATAAAACCAAAAGATTGAAATCACCAATACGTACGTTCAAAGTTTTAGAACAACTTGATCGTTCTTAGGGTTTGACTAGGATGGATGTGTCTCAGCAAAATTGTTGTTTGTGCAATCCTCGATATTGAATCCTCAATCCAGTGGTAAAGCACTTCCAAGTGTGAGAAGAACTTGAATGTTGTTTGGGTTCGGCCAAGGATTGACAATGCTCAGGAAAGTGTTCTGTGTAATCTTCAATCTTGATTTGTCCATCCAGTGGTAAAATACTTTCAAGTGCTTAGCGATCCAGTGGAAACACTTCCAAGTTATTAGTTAGACAAACTTTCAAGTGCTTTTGGTGAGCGGCTTGCTTCATGTTAGCTATGAAGCATGTTGACCCTTTTCAGGAGGTAAACAAAGGTAGGCATAATGCTCAAAAACACTGTTTTACAGTATTTTATGAAGAGGCGCAGGATCATTAGGGGCACTATATATATATATATATATGTGTGTGTATGTGTGTATATATATATATATATACATGTTTGTATGTTCACACACCGTCACCCCCCTCTCTTGAGCTACCTCTCCACATTTGCTCATCTACTACCTGCGCCTTTTGAGATGGAATGAATTTGGTTTTCCTGCGCAAATAGAACTTTAAGTACAACTGATTCAGCTAGAATCCCTGTTCGAAATAGTTTTAAAATTTGAACCTCTCTTCCCTTGAAATGTCCTTTTGGAACACCGTCTAACAAGTTTAATTTCGGACCTTTCTTATGCTGAATTTAAAAGGGCAAGGATATAACTAACACAAATCGCGTTTCGAATGTCCTTGTAGAAGTCCCTTAAATGTTTAGCCGTATTTAACATGAGCTAAATTTGAGAAATAGTCTCTACTTAATTGTTATTACGAAAATCTACTTGAGTTGTGTTCGTATTAGATTATATCTAACACTTAGATCATATTTGGGAATACACTCCTAACTTCTTTTGTTGAAGATTAGTTGGAGTTTGCGCGAAACTATACTTATATTCTCATGTAGCTCCTATTTGGAAAGGATTTGCTTATATAAGCTGTAGTTGGGCAATGTTGAGAATAAACCCATTTTTGAAAACTATATCCTAACCAAATTATATTCAAAATTCCAATTCTAGTTGAAGTAGAATCCTATTTGTAAAGGGTATCATATTGGGACATTTCGGATCTTGCCATGATGGACTGCAAGCCCATTTGTCTGTGCTTAAAATCTATAGCAAAAAATATAAACTCTACAGCCTGCACGCTGAAATCAAGCAAAACCTAGGCACCAGGGGGGGGGGGGGGGCTTAGCATATATATATATATATACATATATATATATATATATATGTATATACATGTTGTGTATATATATATATATACTACATTTCCCCTGAACAAACACCCGCATGTTCAGCAAAGTCTCAATCACGGGCTTGAGTCCGCCCCAAACGAAAGGTGCGTAAGTGAGACCCTGTCAACATTGACCTTCTTTGAACCAAAGGTTGGCGACTCACCGTTTCCCTTGACAAGCAAGGTCCAAAAGGCATGCTTACTTCGCCTTCAGGAGGACCTTCAGGAGGACCACAACATGAGTTTATACCCCCCCAAGGTGTGTTTCCCATTTGATTAGCATGGTCCTCCAGACAAGCTATCCTAACCCGTCCTTCTGGTGATGCCATCGGTTTCCAAATGTTGGGTCCCGTTTGCATCATGGCAAGCCCGCCAGTCAGGAAACCAGAATGAAGGTTCCAACAGTAGAGAAGGGGAAGGAATGGTTAGCCGGACCAAGATGGAAACAAAACTGACTCGAAGGTTCTCAAAAGGGTCATGTCTACAATCTGTCCGGGCCAGGCAACCAACTCTTGCGAGTTAGCGACTTAAAGGGTGCCCCTCTCTTTGCTTGGATCACGTGGCTAAACCATGGCTTAGCGCACAGATGACGCCTCCGGGCACCTTTCGTGCTGTCTAATTTGAGGCGCTTGGACCCCCCTCTCCCCACAGCTCCAAAATTCAATCACCAGGATATTGACCACAAATTTTAGTCTATGTTTCCATCTGCCAGGGCAACCCATTTTGGATTTGGTTACCCCATTTTTGACCCACCATTTGAGCGCCCGGCGCCCCTCCCCTTGGACTTGCCGCCTTTGGCCTGGCTGGAGGCGGACGGAAGCGGGGCCAAGAACCATTTCTCAGTTGCTTCCCTGCCCAAAAGAATATGATCCCCGCAAAGGGGGGCTCCCAGCGAATTATGTTAGAACCCCCAAACAATCCGGAAGAACCAAATGGGCTTTAAGTCTACTGAGACCAGTTCAATGGACCAAGCGGGGGTCAAGCCGAGAGCATGTTTTTGTTTGGGCAACCCTTCGTTGGTTGGTGTTTTAAAGGAGACCAAGGGGGGGGGGAAGTCCCCCCCCCAAAAAAAACAATGGGTGGTTGGCCAAGTTAGTAAGTGGTGTGAAATTTGTTAGGTTACAACCCACTTAGCAGCGCATTGCTTGGTTGCAAGCAGGCTACCTAGGTGAATCTCAACACTTTCTAACTTGGCCCAACACTCAAGTACCTGTGCATACCCACATTCTATCTTGCCCCTTGGAGATGCGGGCATGTGACAGAACAATGAAGTCGACTGCCTCCGAGCGGGTTGCGATGTGTTTGTTTCCGCATGGAACAAGGCAACCTGGGTCGTCTTGTACCCCCTTGGTTGCAAATCATGCCAACGTCCTGTGCCTTGTTCAGGGGTCTTTGCAAAGTCACGGATCAGGGGTCAACCCCTTTGGGGGTCGCTGCAACTTGCGCATGCCAACTACCACCCTGGGCCGTGGCGGAAGGCCCTTCAAACATCTGTGGGCTCCTGTGCAAGGGGCACAGCTTCAGACACTCGCATCTGTGCATATAGGCGTGTCATTGTTTCAGGGCGGCGTTTCCAGGCGGTTTAAAGGGAAGCCGGAAAAAATCAGGCCCTCGGTTCTGCTGGGCTTTATTTCGGGGTTCCCACCAATATCTGCGCGACGTGAGAACAGCCGGACTTCGGAGTCCCGGCCAGCATCGATTTCGCCTTGCTCTCTGGAGCTTCGACCTGGGACCGCAGAAATGCAGCTCTTTCCTGTCATTTTCCCTTCAAAACCACCAAAAAGAGGCACCTAAAAAAAAAAACACAATAATACACAATAATACACACAGCCAAACGGAAGATCAAGATCCATCTTTGGGGAGACACCAGACAGCGGCCAAAACTGGTTTTGATCTCGAAGTCAGTAGCTTCGGTCGCTCCAACTTGGACAGTTTAACTTCTTTTGGATGCGGCCCCTCGCCAAGCTCGAATAAGTTACCTCCATCGCCGTCTAAGCAGGCAAGCCTTGTGGCTTCAACCTTGGTAAGGGGAAACCACAAAGGTTTCTGACCTTGATATCCATAGAATCCGACACAAAATGCTGGGCCTTGTGATTGAATTCAGTGTCAGCAAGCCTAGTCAAACCAAAAACCCCTCGGGCCCCTTTGTCCCTTCCAACTGGAGCGTCAAAACAAGGCCTCTGATGGTATCGGGGAGCAACAGTTCATAAACGAGACAATCCTTGCAGATTGTTAAAACATGCTAGTCTATGATAGTTTGTTGGATTCCTTCGTCATGTTCCCAAAACATGAAAGGAGTCACCATCTTTCCATCCGCTACTTGCCTCACCTCTGTGGTTCATCCATATGTGCATCCTTCATATGAGCCAACTCGCAAGAGACCTATCAGTGACTCAAAGTCAACCAGAGAAAACCGGTGCCCCTGGGCGAAAGCTTTCGAAACATGGCGCGGGACCCTCTGGCCCCGGCCCAGGGGATCTCTTCCCCGGCGGCCTCAAGGCGGGTGTTGGCTCGGGACAGGGGAAACTCCTGCACCACCAAAGAAACCGTGGAATGATGTAATCAACAAACAATGGATTCCCATGGTTTCAAAGTGGTGCAGGATTTGGTCCATCCACAGTATGTGGGTATAGGTGTCCTTCTTGGAAAGAAGATGGCTTACGCCAAAAACACCATTCCTGCTTTTGTTCAAGCCGAGGAAGCCGAGCGCTGGCTGCTCATGTGGTTCTTCTCCGCTGGGTGTTGGCCCAACTCAAAGGGTGGCGTTCAGTGCGCTCAAAGAAACAGCTTTTACCAAAATAAGGGTTGAGTGACTGAGCTACTTTGGATGGACGAAATCCTGCACCAATCAAGAGACCCTTGAATGAAGATTCCCCTGCAAATACCAACCAATGATGGATTCCTGTGGTTGTGCAGGATTTCGTCCATCCACAATATGGCTGCCTGTCTAAGCAATAAGGAGTCACAATCAAACCCCTGCCTGTCCATAGTTACCCGAAAGGATCCCTCTGGCGGTCTGGCAACTTGCTCACATGTTTGAACACCCCTCCACCCGTCAGTTGACCCTTTAAAGGAGCTCAGGGTCCAGTCGTAGAACCCTAAAAACAGCCTTCAAGCATCAAACAGCCAAAAAAACAAACATTCACCTTACAGGAGATGAGCGCCAAAAGGCGATCAGTGGCTTAAACATCCGCTTTCAACATCTCACCCGGCCACAACATCACCCCACCGCAGACATACTCACGTTTACGCTTTGGACACCGCGGTTACGAATCCGGGGTCGAATCCGGGGTTACGAAAGTTGATGTTTCAGCTTCCCTCAAACAGAGTTGTTTGGAGCCGAATCGGTGGCTTGGTTTAGTATTTCGGGGGTAGCTTCCCATTTACCTCTGCGATAAGCAAGACAAACATCCCCAAACCAGCAATCCAAACCCATTAATTAAGGACAGGGTGAATACCTGTTTCTTTCTGTCCAGCTCTGTTGCCAAAAACAGGTCGCATTCCGAATGGCTATCCTCCCTCTCTGCATCAAGTCGAGAATCATGACGCAAAATGTCGGAGATTTGCACTCTAGCCGAAACGTTTGGAGCACCGCATTTCGTATTGAATCACACAAATCTGCAGTATTTGCCAGGGTGCTTTTTGCTCCTGTCCATAGTTCAAGCCCTCCCCCTCTCCAACAGCTTGGTTCACAGGAACCCCAAATCCAAAAGGCCCGCTGTCTGCCTTTGATGGAAATGCACTTCTTCACTTAAAGTGACATAGGCCCTTTCGGAAAAGTAGATGGCAAGCGCTAACAAACCCAACCTGAAACCAGCCCCATCTATGTTCAACCAAACTGACATAAAAAGGACACCCATGGTCACCGAACAGTCTCAAGGAAATTCAAAAATTGGAGAGGCAAACCAGTTTGGATTTGTCTTAAAAGGGGCCCAAAAACTTAGTTGATGTCCTTGTGGGTTCCTTCAAAGCAGCCACTGAATTTGCCTGGTTTCCTTTGCATCTTCCTTCAAAGCAACTGGGTCCAAAAAAGGAACAACCCTGTTTTGGCCACCCACACCCAGCCCCTTCCAGCGCCCCCTCAATACAAGCCCTATCAACCCTGTCCAACCCTCGCTCAACTCACAACCCGAATCCCACCCTTTTCCAAATCCAAACCCACCGACCAAAAATGACTAGACATTGAGAAATCCCTTGGTAAGCTGGTGGTTTGGATTGGTGCTTTGGATTTGGATTTGAACCGCAGTTCCTTGTGAAGCCAAATGGGAAAGGTTTCTTCGTGAAAACCACCAAACCCGACCACCAATAGGAGGGAAACTGACAGTAGATGTATCCTTTTGGAGCAAAATGTTCAAGGGGTTGAAAACGGAGATGAAGAAAATTCACACTCTCATCAACAGGAACATACAAAAAAACACACCTGCTCCTTTTCCTCAGTTGCCCAAAGGACCTGGGACTAAAAGGTTAACCTTTTGGGGCCATGACTAAATATGGACCAAAACAGGAAAACCAAAAGGTCAAAAGGTTGGCTTTGGGCAACTGAGTTTCGCCTGTGAACAGATTACAAGATCTTAGCAACCAAACTGACCCGTCGGATCCGGGCCTCCAAGACCTGTGCACAGCCCACCACGATGGCACACCCCACCTGCCGTGCGAGAAAAGAAAAAAAAACAAGGCCGGTGTTGGGCTCCCATGGGTTTCACGTGGGAAAAAAAAGGGGCCATCAGCGGGTGTCCAATTTTTGCACTTGGAAATGCCAGCTGGGAGGGGGGGGGTCCTGAAAGTACTGGCCATGTCTACTACCGTTATTTCCCTTGATTACTTTCCTTTGAAAGTACTCGCCGGGGTACCTCATCGAATGCTTGCAAAACAAGCTCGCTACTCAGTTGGGCGGTGAAGACAAAGGGGACGCAGAATTGCACACATGGAAGAGCGTGATTCCTTGTTTTGCACGCACGCAGGCCCGCACGATCTGATATGGGGTTCCATTTGAGGGAAACAGTTGTCAACGTGTACGAACGCAGAGGTTCCCTCCCGAAGGTCCTCGATCCATCTAGCAAGAACAAGCGAGGCTAACATTGCTAAAGGGTCGCCTTGCGGGAGTCCTTCCTTTGCAGTGATAACGTGCGGTGATATTTCAACCATCCAACACGAGCCGTCTTTGCATGTTCCCAAGTGCAAACAGCCGAATTGTCTGCGCAACTTTCGGATGCCGTAGCTCAGAGCTTTGGCAGCATCTGAATGCCCATTGTCAAAGAACCAACACAGACAGAGTGATAGGCCTTGTTATCGCAGTGGCCACCGCTGCATCACCCGAACGCTTAGGAACTCCACCAACGACCACCAACGGGAACATCAGGGAAATGAGTCTCTGAGATGGAAAGCGGCCACTGGTGGAAAAGCCTCAGAAGAGTGGGCTCTACATAGGCCTAAGTGTTCCAACACGTGAACTTGGCCTGCAACCAATGAGTAGGGCAACAATTCTGTTTGAGACGAGGCAGAAATAGGGTATGAAGTCCTGACAAAGATGTTCTCCTTTCCACCCACCGAAACCTGGAGGTTTGCCTTTGGGCCAAGCGCGAACGTGCCTGAAATCTCCATGAGTGTCAGAAACATCAGCCCCCAGCAAGGAATATAGCCCAAACAACATCCCAAGGCGCAAGAAGCTCCTTGTCGCCAATAGCCGCATAAATGCCAGTAACCTCCCAACAGAATGGATCCGAGGCCTCTAACTGCCTCTAACATGAAACCAATGTTCCAAAGACTCACGGCATAAAAGAAGTCGAAAGCACAATTCGATAGGAGAGCACAAAGGACCCCAGCCATAAGAGCCAGACACCTGCCTTCCGTCGGCTTTCCAACAGCATGGATCACAACCTCTTGCATGTCCGGACGGCTCGTCGCCAATGGATACCAAGCAAGCACAAGGCTCAGCCATCTCCACTACGAATATACCACCTCCAGGATTCTTCCCAATGCCCTTGCAAGTAGCATACAGAAAAGTGCAATGTTTTTGCCCATCCACAGTGCCAACCCCAGTCCCAGAGTGCTTTGACCATGGCACATGTGACGTAACCTGCTTCAGTGGCTGCCTTTTCTGTTCGTGGCCTTGAATTGTCACATCTTTCCACCAGGAAGCTCACTGAAACAATCTCACCGTGGCTCAGGTACCCTCAACCGAAAGCACACCCATGTGGCGGTAGATAGGTTGCCCAAAAAAGGCACCAGCAAAAACATAGCCAGACTGCTCCAACCCCGTTCAAAAAGCTGTCTTTTGCTTGCAAGAAAATGATGGAAAACCAAAAGAGCAAAAAGCTACGGTAAGTGAAGTCCACTGAAACCCCGCCTCGCAGGCTTTCAGCAGCGCGGTCGGGTCCCCGTAAGGCGAAGCCGCGACGACTGACGAATCGGCTTTCATTTCACGGCGAGGCTATCCTAGGTAGATGGCAATGACGTTTGGAGGTTCAAAGAAGGGCCTGAATACTTACACATCTGATTCCTCTTTAAGCAGTAAATGTGTTTCGAAGCACCCCCACAAGCCCATTCTCAACAAAAAAAACACACACCCCTTGCATTAGCACCCCTCCCAGCAACATGGCGACATTGTTCCAACGGTTCCCTTGGGCTCCCGTGTAGCGATCCTTTGTGGGAACCAACACGATCTGCAAAACCAGAAACCATGCTCCTTCTTCAATGTGAATCTTCTCGCTGAATGGTTCTTCTTTGTGGTGGTCGCTACAACTCACTCGGATCCCTTTGACTACCTTGCTGCTTGGAAAAGGGGATATCATAGACATGGCAACCTAAAAAACTTGATGCGGGGGCCATCCATTGCTTCCTGAGTCCAAAAACGGTCTACACTTTTTGGGGCCAGTTTGGTATACCGATCCCAAGCATCAGCTGGCTGGGTAATCTCGAGCAAACTCCTGAGAGAAAGTCCCCCTCGCTGGCAGAACATCAGGATGGGACTCCGGGTAAGTGAGTCCTATGGTTTCCCGAAGCAACCAAAAGCTTGGGTCAAAGAAATCATGCCGCTCCGAAACTCCGAGATCGAACATGGCCCGGAATCAGCTAACTGGCTCCAACCTATCCTTTTGTGCATCTATGAGTCGGCTCCGGCAAAACCTTCCAGCGACGGGATGACTCGAATCTGATCGGGCACCAGTTTGGCTTGTCGATCCCAAGAAGACTCGCTGGCAATCTTCGCTCTTTGACTCTTTGCCTGAAAAAGGACCGCCCCTTTGCGGATGGTGGTTACAATCCTATTAACATGGAACCTAGCAAAATCATCCTATTAACATGGAACCTAGCAAAATCACTGCAGCATTTCAGCATTCATGCGCGCCTCTAGCAAAACCTACAACTGCGAATCCTAAAGTGAGAAGCCACTCCATTTAAAAAAAAAAATGCACGAAGTACATTGCCTCGAAGCGCCAGATTAGGTGGATCCTCTCCGAGTTGCCACTATAGTAGGTAACCAACGATCTGTCCTTTAGGTTTTTTAACGGGTGATTCCCTTGGTTGACAACTAATCTTAGGACTTGATTAATAAATCCCCCCGGAATAATGACTTTTTCTCGCCCCGGGCCAGAAAAAATCCAATACTTATTTTTAATTGGCCAATACATAGTTTAGTCTTGGTGCCCCAGTTGACACAAGAAATCCCCCCGGAATAATAACTTTTCCGAGGCCAGAACTCCCAAAATTCGAATACTAGTTTTAATCTCCCCAATACTAATTGCAATTCAAACCCGGTGGCCAAGCAAACAAACACAAGGTTTCTTGGACTCCAGCACTGCCTCCCCCACATCAAAGCAACCCCCCTACAACTATGCTCCTGCACGCTTTAGCTACCAGAAAAATCATTCCTGCACTGTCATACTACAGTCCTCTTCATGCTTGAGTATGGCTTTATCTTCTTCACAGCAAAGACTGCCCTTGCTGCAGACTGCTCGCACAGTTGCATTTTGTCCGCTAAACTGCATGGTGGCCGCAGCAGCAGCATCCTCTGCCAGCAAGCGTGCCTGCAATGAACAGCAAGCTGCACTGCCATATCTACAAAGAGGAAGCCCCTACAATAACAAGACCACCCCGGAATAAAGAACCAGCAGTGTGAAACAAACAACACAAACATTTCAGCCCTTGTAGGTCTTCCAGTAATTATTCCTTCAAGTCAGTCTCGCCTGCAAGTGAGGCTTCAGCTGTCTTCTCTTCAGCGCTTTGCCTTCCTCATCTGCCTGCAGCATAAGCAATGGACATGCTGCAAGCTGCAGCGCAAATCTTGAGCACTGCAAGGCGCACCCTCTCACATCTGCACTTTTCCTGGCCAAATGCCTGCACTCGCTTCCTGCAATGCTACACGATAGACCTCAGCAACTTTCTCCTACACCTCTTTGAGCTGCACTGCATTCCATGCCACTGCCTAATCTCATCAACAAGCATCTATTTTGAAGCTTGCACTAACTGGCCCTCTTCACAATAAAAAGGCCACCTCACAATAATACCAGGGCACTGCAGCCCTGCTAGCTAGGACACCCCCCTACAATAAAGAGACCACCTCACAATAATATCAGCACAAGCAGTGCAGCAGCACCTGCACCCCATCATTCCCAAGCTCCATGTGACACAGACAGGCACAGAGACACAGAAACAAATAGCCACAAAGACACCTTATTCAGCGCTTTTTTCAAAAAGCCATCCAGCCCTGCAGTTTGTTCAGCCTGCAGATCACTGCAGGCCGCAGAAGCTGGCTCTCAAAAAAATCTAGTACTGAAGACATTAGACTTTTCATCCTTGCATGGACTTCTGCACAGCATGGCTCAGCAAGCGGTGCCCCCCTACAATAATAGCATTACCCAGAAAAATAGCCAAGCCCTGCAGCCACTGGCCCCCAAATTCCCAAACCCAAAGCTCTAATGAAACAATTCCAAAATCCCAAACTTCATCAGTACAAAACTTGCAATCCCAAGTACTCAGCTTGTACTGAAGACCTTAGACTTTTCATCCTTGCATGGACTTCTGCACAGCAAGGCTCAGGACTTCTGCACAGCAAGGCCCAGCAAGCGGTGCCCCCCTACAATAATAGCATTACCCAGAATAATGGCCAAGCCCTGCAGCCACTGGTTCCCACATTCCCAAACCAAAAGCTCCAAACAATTCCAAGATCCCAAACTTCATCAGCACCAAAACTTGCAATCCCAAGTACTCAGCTTGTACTGAAGACCTTAGACTTTTCATCCTTGCATGGACTTCTGCACAGCAAGGCGCAGCAAGCGGTGCCCCCCTACAATAATAGCATTACCCAGAATAATAGCCAAGCCCTGCAGCCACTGGCCCCCAAATTCCCAAACCCAAAGCTCGAATGAAACAATTCCAAAATCCCAAACTTCATCAGTACAAAACTTGCAATCCCAAGTACTCAGCTTGTACTGAAGACATTAGACTTTTCATCCTTGCATGGACTTCTGCACAGCAAGGCTCAGCAAGCGGCGCCCCCCTACAATAATAGCAGTACCCAGAATAGTGGCCAAGCCCTGCAACCACTGGCCCACAAATTCCCAAACCCAAAGCTCCAAACAATTCCAAAATCCCAAACTTCACCAGCACCAAAACTTGCAATCCCAAGTACTCAGCTTGTACTGAAGACCTTAGACTTTTCATCCTTGCATGGACTTCTGCACAGCATGGCTCAGCAAGCGGTGCCCCCCTACAATAATAGCATTACCCAGAATAATGGCCAAGCCCTGCAGCCACTGGTTCCCACATTCCCAAACCAAAAGCTCCAAACAATTCCAAAATCCCAAACTTCATCAGCACCAAAACTTGCAATCCCAAGTACTCAGCTTGTACTGAAGACATTAGACTTTTCATCCTTGCATGGACTTCTGCACAGCAAGGCTCAGCATGCGGCGCCCCCCTACAATAATAGCATTACCCAGAATAATAGCCAAGCCCTGCAGCCACTGGCCCCCAAGTTCCCAAACCCAAAGCTCTAATGAAACAATTCCAAAATCCCAAACTTCATCAGTACAAAACTTGCAATCCCAAGTACTCAGCTTGTACTGAAGACATTAGACTTTTCATCCTTGCATGGACTTCTGCACAGCAAGGCTCAGCAAGCGGCGCCCCCCTACAATAATAGCAGTACCCAGAATAGTGGCCAAGCCCTGCAACCACTGGCCCACAAATTCCCAAACCCAAAGCTCCAAACAATTCCAAAATCCCAAACTTCACCAGCACCAAAACTTGCAATCCCAAGTACTCAGCTTGTACTGAAGACCTTAGACTTTTCATCCTTGCATGGACTTCTGCACAGCATGGCTCAGCAAGCGGTGCCCCCCTACAATAATAGCAGTACCCAGAATAATAGCCAAGCCCTGCAGCCACTGGCCCCCAAATTCCCAAACCCAAAGCTCTAAACAATTCCAAAATCACAAACTTCATCAGCACCAAAACTTGCAATCCCAAGTACTCAGCTTGTACTCTACAGTTCCTCCAGCAAACCATCAAAGCTACAACCCTACAATGCCAAGCAGCACCCCTCAAACCTACAGCTGGCCAGCCCTTCAGCAGGCCTCAGCCTCTGCAGGCAATTCACCAGCTGCATGATCTCCATGCAAACTACAGTGTCTCAAGCAAAACTCTTCAAATCTACAGTGTCTCAAGCAAAACTCTTCAAATCTACACTCCTTCAAACATGTTCCACCTACTACATGTGTGAAGTCTACATTGTCCCCAACCAACCCCTTGAAGCCTACAGCCCCTTGTGCCCCTTGCAAGCCAGCACCTCTACAGACACTTCCTCCTCCACATCTTGGGCCTCCAGTTCTTCACCAGCCTGCATGGCAAGAAGCCTTCACACCCACAGCCCTCCATGCAAACTACAATATCTCAAGCAAAACCTTCAAACCTACAGCCCTTTAAACCCTTCAATCCTATCACCCTTGATGTGTCCTACCTACAGTTCCTCCAGCAAACCATCAAAGCTACAACCCTACAATGCCAAGCAGCACCCCTCAAATCTACAGCTGGCCAGCCCTTCAGCAGGCCTCAGCCTCTGCAGGCAATTCACCAGCTGCATGATCTTCAGCATCTTCCACCTGCATGGCCAGGACATTTCAGACAGACAACTCCATGCAAACTACAGTGTCTCAAGCAAAACTCTTCAAATCTACAGTGTCTCAAGCAAAACTCTTCAAATCTACACTCCTTCAAACATGTTCCACCTACTACATGTGTCAAGTCTACATTGTCCCCAACCAACCCCTTGAAGCCTACAGCCCCTTGTGCCCCTTGCAAGCCAGCACCTCTACAGACACTTCCTCCTCCACATCTTGGGCCTCCAGTTCTTCACCAGCCTGCATGGCAAGAAGCCTTCACACCCACAGCCCTCCATGCAAACTACAATATCTCAAGCAAAACCTTCAAACCTACAGCCCGTTAAACCCTTCAATCCTATCACCTTGATGTGTCCTACCTACAGTTCCTCCAGCAAACCATCAAAGCTACAACCCTACAATGCCAAGCAGCACCCCTCAAATCTACAGCTGGCCAGCCCTTCAGCAGGCCTCAGCCTCTGCAGGCAATTCACCAGCTGCATGATCTTCAGCATCTTCCACCTGCATGGCCAGGACATTTCAGACAGACAACTCCATGCAAACTACAGTGTCTCAAGCAAAACTCTTCAAATCTACAGTGTCTCAAGCAAAACTCTTCAAATCTACACTCCTTCAAACATGTTCCACCTACTACATGTGTCAAGTCTACATTGTCCCCAACCAACCCCTTGAAGCCTACAGCCCCTTGTGCCCCTTGCAAGCCAGCACCTCTACAGACACTTCCTCCTCCACATCTTGGGCCTCCAGTTCTTCACCAGCCTGCATGGCAAGAAGCCTTCACACCCACAGCCCTCCATGCAAACTACAATGTCTCAAGTAAAACCTTCAAACCTACAGCCCTTTAAACCCTTCAATCCTATCACCCTTGATGTGTCCTACCTACAGTTCCTCCAGCAAACCATCAAAGCTACAACCCTACAATGCCAAGCAGCACCCCTCAAATCTACAGCTGGCCAGCCCTTCAGCAGGCCTCAGCCTCTGCAGGCAATTCACCAGCTGCATGATCTTCAGCATCTTCCACCTGCATGGCCAGGACCCTTCAGACAGACAACTCCATGCAAACTACAGTGTCTCAAGCAAAACTCTTCAAATCTACACTCCTTCAAACATGTTCCACCTACTACATGTGTCAAGTCTACATTGTCCCCAACCAACCCCTTGAAGCCTACAGCCCTTTAAACCCTTCAATCCTATCACCCTTGATGTGTCCTACCTGCAGCTCCTCCAGCAAACCATCAAAGCTACAACCCTACAGTTCTGCAAATCTACAGCCCTTCAGCCAAAAAATGTTTTACCTACATTGTCTGGCAAACTCTTCACACCTACAACCACCTGCCACACACACAGCCCAGCCCTTCAGCAGGCCTGAGCCTCTGCACCAGCAGGAAGCTCGCCAGCTGCACGATCTTCAACATCTTCCACCTGCATGGCCAGAACCCTTCAGACAGCCAAGCCCTCCAAGCAAGCTACAGTGTCTCAAGCAAAACTCTTCAAATCTACACTCCTTCAAACATGTTCCACCTACTACATGTGTCAAGTCTACATTGTCCCCAACCAACCCCTTGAAGCCTACAGCCCCTTGTGCCCCTTGCAAGCCAGCACCTCTACAGACACTTCCTCCTCCACATCTTGGACCTCCAGTTCTTCACCAGCCTGCATGGCAAGAAGCCTTCACACCCACAGCCCTCCATGCAAACTACAATGTCTCAAGCAAAACCTTCAAACCTACAGCCCTTTAAACCCTTCAATCCTATCACCCTTGATGTGTCCTACCTACATTTCCTCCAGCAAACCATCAAAGCTACAACCCTACAATGCCAAGCAGCACCCCTCAAATCTACAGCTGGCCAGCCCTTCAGCAGGCCTCAGCCTCTGCAGGCAATTCACCAGCTGCATGATCTTCAGCATCTTCCACCTGCATGGCCAGGACATTTCAGACAGACAACTCCATGCAAACTACAGTGTCTCAAGCAAAACTCTTCAAATCTACAGTGTCTCAAGCAAAACTCTTCAAATCTACACTCCTTCAAACATGTTCCACCTACTACATGTGTCAAGTCTACATTGTCCCCAACCAACCCCTTGAAGCCTACAGCCCCTTGTGCCCCTTGCAAGCCAGCACCTCTACAGACACTTCCTCCTCCACATCTTGGGCCTCCAGTTCTTCACCAGCCTGCATGGCAAGAAGCCTTCACACCCACAGCCCTCCATGCAAACTACAATGTCTCAAGCAAAACCTTCAAACCTACAGCCCTTTAAACCCTTCAATCCTATCACCCTTGATGTGTCCTACCTACAGTTCCTCCAGCAAACCATCAAAGCTACAACCCTACAATGCCAAGCAGCACCCCTCAAATCTACAGCTGGCCAGCCCTTCAGCAGGCCTCAGCCTCTGCAGGCAATTCACCAGCTGCATGATCTTCAGCATCTTCCACCTGCATGGCCAGGACCCTTCAGACAGACAACTCCATGCAAACTACAGTGTCTCAAGCAAAACTCTTCAAATCTACACTCCTTCAAACATGTTCCACCTACTACATGTGTCAAGTCTACATTGTCCCCAACCAACCCCTTGAAGCCTACAGCCCTTTAAACCCTTCAATCCTATCACCCTTGATGTGTCCTACCTGCAGCTCCTCCAGCAAACCATCAAAGCTACAACCCTACAGTTCTGCAAATCTACAGCCCTTCAGCCAAAAAATGTTTTACCTACATTGTCTGGCAAACTCTTCACACCTACAACCACCTGCCACACACACAGCCCAGCCCTTCAGCAGGCCTGAGCCTCTGCACCAGCAGGAAGCTCGCCAGCTGCACGATCTTCAACATCTTCCACCTGCATGGCCAGAACCCTTCAGACAGCCAAGCCCTCCAAGCAAGCTACAGTGTCTCAAGCAAACCCTCAAATCTAAAACCCTTCATGCCAAGAAGTGGTCTACCTACAATGGCTCCAGTCAAACTCTTTAATCCTAGCTCAAACGCTACACCACTAAAAACAAATGCTACACCACTGAAAACAGGCAAGGCTTCATCCATGCAGGGCTGCACCAATTCACACCTACACATGGCCAACTTTAGATCCTTCATGCCGAGGTTGTTCACACAGTGCTCATTTTTCCTTGCAAGTCTCCAAGTCGGCCTCCAATGGCTGCAAAAAATCTACAAAAAGCCTAGTCCGCAGCTACACCTGTCTGCAGCTAAACCTGAAGAGCCAGCGCTTCCTGCAGTCCTACATTTGGAACCTGCGGAGCCGAGATCTGCTGCTCCTGCATGCTGCCCGCCAAGGACCTCAACTCCTGCATGCGCTCCAGGATCTGGTCACTCAAGACCCAGATGACTCCACCTGCAGGCTCCTGCAAGTGCTGGTTTGCTTCCTGCAGGAGCACCGGCAGCACCGTCTGAGGCCTCCAGCCTGCCCACCTGCAGAGACTCATATTGTTCAGTGTGTCCACCGCTTCCTGCACCGCCTCTGCATCGCCCTCCAAGGAAGAGGCCCAGGCGTCGCGCAGCGCCCTGCACCACACTTCGCTGCACAGCAACCTCCAGCCCACCTGCGCATCCTCCCTGCAGACCCTGCAGGCTCTGCACCAGCCCTCCAGGATGGGCCTGAGCTGGCGCTGCAGCCAGATAGCATTCTGGCTTCTGCTCCACTCCTGCATCGCGCGCTGCATGTGCCTGGCTGCATCGGCCACAAGGCCTGCAGTGCAATCCTGCCGCAGCTCCATGGCTTTGCACGCAGTCTCCATTGAGCCCTGCTGCGCCTTCAACTCCTGGCACAGCATCTCCAATGACTCCATTGGTGCTGCGATGGCCTGCAGCTGCTTCTTCAAGTCCTGCACCTCCTTCCTCATCTGCATGCCGACTCCAACTGCACCACAGGCTGCACCCAACAAGGCTGCAAGGAGAGCGATCATGGCTCTGCACTGAACTTGCTACAGCACCTGCAAAAGCTGCACAAAAAGGCTGCAGCGCACAACTGCAAACTTGTCTACAAGCCCTTCACCTAACATCTCCAAAAGCCCTACCCTGCTTGCTGCAGCCCGGCTCCCACCCAGCTGGCCTCCACATCTTCAGCTCCATCGTCTTCAGCCATGGCTACAACAGCTCCACAGCTGGCCCTGTAGCTACACCACGCACTTTTGCTTCTGTTCTACAGCTGCTGCTTGCTACAAGTCTTGCTCCATGGCTGCACCCATTGCCTGCTCCAGTGCTTGCACTGCTTCAGCCCAGCCCCTTGCACACAAGAAACACCACCCCTACAATAATAACACCCCTCACATTAATGGTTAGCAACACAAACCAGCTGCCAGGCCTACACTACCCCCTACAATAATAAAACCCCCTCAGAATAAATGCCATCTACAAACCAGAATTCCACAAAAAAACTGCACCTTCAATTTAATTTTAAATTGCCCTTCACTTTTCTTCTTTCTTGTCTCTCTGCCTTCCCATCCCCCCCTCCCCCCTTCCACCCCCCCACAATTTGGACCCAGGCTTGTTGTAGGGGGGGGGGGGGGGGGGACCGGGGGGGCCGGGGGGGGGGGGGCCCCCCCTATTAATCAAGAGCAAAGATTATATGAGTAATCGAATGACTGGGGTAGGCAACAAACAACACGTTTTTTACAGAAACTGACCCAGCAGAGGGACACAGAGCAGCCACAGTGGCCTGAAGTCAAGATTATGCAACACTGATGTCGGTCTCCAAGTACCCGCTTCGTCTAAGGAGTTTCTTTCAGAAAAATAGGTGTTCCAAGGTAAGTACCTCAAGCACCTCCTTTTTAGTCGGATCAAATACCCCTTTGCGAGGAGGGGTTCGCCACGGTGTTCCATGGAGAAGATCTCCGCTTCATTCGTAACCAACGTCATCTGGAGAAACAGATTGGGGTGACATCTGAGGTCGGATAATAATAAAAGCGCCTTGGTTCATGGAAACAACAAAAAAATCACAAAAAGTTGGAAAGGCTGCCGAAAAAAAGCGAGGTGCAAGGTTTCAAGGTTTGGGTTGCGACCATCAATAGCTCGGGTTCATTCGGATGACTCGAACACAACTCATCTGAGCTTCCTGGCTCCAATAGATGTCAACCGGAGTCGGGTTTCTGTGAACAAGACACGGATGTGTCTTAAGACAGAACCAAAACAAAAACACCCCAAAAAACCTCAACGCCACGCCGCGGTGCCAGAGCCCCTGTCCGTGTGAGGTTTTGTGTTGTTTTTCCTGACGCCTCAGGCAACGCGACCTTCGGCTTCGAGGCCTCCAGGTGTAAATGGCAAGCCTTCAGCGTCCGGTGCCACCTGGTGTCGGGGACTGGATATTTGTCCGGTGACTTGCGGCGGCCATGCGGCGAATCCGATGTGAGAAGGCACCTGAAAAGGGTTGGCGGGTGCCCGTGGATTGATTGGGGCACCCTCTTTGGTCAGAAAATAGCCCATTGGGCCCCAAGGGAGTATTGTGGCAGGTCCTCCAACCTACTTTGTTTTAAAAAAAATGAGGTCAGTCAATCCGAAGGGGAGAAAACAAAAAAAAAAACAGGGGCAGCGGTGGGAGCTCCTAGGGAGGAAAGGCATCTCGTGCTCCTGCGTTCATAAGTATGCATATGGGAAAACACATGCCATGTGATGTCGGTCCCTGCGAATGAAAAGGTATTGCAGTTTGAGAACAGTGTTCTGAACAAATGCTCAATCCGGGCGTGGGCAATTCCAAAGCCGCCCACCGAATGCGTGATGAAGTTACTGCGTGAAGGAAAAGATCTTCACAAAGATCATCTGCAGATAAGAAAGCCATCATAGATATACCGCATGAACCAAGTTCATGGGGAAATAAACGAGTCTCCCTGGTCTGCGGAACTCAAATTCGTCCTCCCAACTTCACCATTGAGTACCGCATCTTCTCACCAAACCTCTCACATCTCATTCCAACACCAACGGATTCTCGGGCAAGCTGGCGCTTGAAGCCTTGAAGCCTTGGGGAGGTGCTACACATCCCGATTCGATTCCAAAGCTGGGGCCCCCGGCAGGCGCACTCATTCAGCCTTCACAGGCAGCCACCGGCCAATCTCCCCGTGGCTTCTTCCGTGTTTCTTTGGAGGGCAAGGCCGCAGTGGCTTTGCAGGCTTTTTGGATGGGAGGGTCATACGAGAACGACTAAGATCCAGGGTTGCACAATTTGTTCAAGCATAGATCCGAGAGAGAATCAAACTGGTTGCTTGGCCAATGGTGGTTTACACCATTCTTGGAACACCGTTTGGCAGCTTTCCAAGTTTTGGTTTTCCAGCTCCAGTCCATGCAGCCCATAAACTCTTATCACCTTCTTGGTTTTCGGTTTCGGTTTTCCATTTGTAAAGAAGGGTCCTCAAAATTGATCGCAGCGTTCTTCCGGGTCCTTTGAGTTCTGTCCTGCGCCCCTCTACAAGCCTGGAACCTGACTCGGGGTCCTGGAAGACAACGTTCCTTCCAAAGGGGCCAGTTCTTCAAAGAGGTTCCGTAGCAGCATGGATGTGAGGGTAAAATATGTGAAACAAAAACAAACTCATCAGGACATCCACATTCCCTTTTAATAATAATAATCAGAATAATAATGATAATAATAATAATAATCATAATAATAATAATAACAATAACAATAATAATAACAATAATAATAACAATCATAATAATAATAATAATAATAATAATAATCATAATAATAATAATAATAATCATAATAATCATAATAATAATAATAATCATAATAATAATAATCATAATAATAATAATAAAATAATAATCATAATCATAATAATAATAATAATCAGAATAATAATGATAATAATAATAATAATCATAATAATAATAATAACAATAACAATAATAATAACAATAATAATAACAATCATAATAATGATAATAATAATAATAATCATAATAATCATAATAATAATAATCATAATAATAATAATAATCATAATAATAATAATAATAATCATAAAATAATAATAATAAAATAATAATCATAATAATAATAATCATAATCATAATCATAATAATAATAATAATAACAATAATAATAATAATCAGAATAATAATAATAATCATAATCATAATAATAATAATAATCATAATCATAATAATAATAATAACAATAATAATAATAATCAGAATAATAATAATAATAATCATAAAAATAATAATAATCATGATAATAATAATCATAATAATAATAATAATCATAATCATAATCATAATAATAATAATCATAATAATCATAATAATAACAACAATAATAATAATACATAAATAAATAAATAAAAAAAAAAATAAAAAAAAAAAAAGAGAAAAAAAAACTCACCCACCGCTTCCAGGCTTCGGACCCTCACTGGGCTGCGGGTCGGCTGATGATCCTCCCATTCGATGCTGTGTCTGGAGCCCATACGACGGAGCACATCCAGACGGAAGGGATGCAGAGTCACCGGGGTGACCGGGAAGACTGCTCAAGGTCGGGTAGGCAGTCTCTGGGTTTGGCTACAAAAGAATCACCGGGGTGAAAGCGGATAAAGGAAATTCCCTCTGAAACATTCCCCCAGCAAGGGAAAACTCGGCTATGGTCCAAAACGTGATGGACCCCTCAAGGAATTGTGCCATCTACTTTCACCCAATTGTACAAGAGAATCCCTGCAAAGTTGGGGATTGGCTGAGTAGAAATAATGAAGCAAAAGCTCACCTGGGCTACAGAATCTCTGGGGAGTTGGGGGTTCGGACTGAAAAACTGAACAAACGGCTTAGGGTTAGAGGAAAGTCTAGGAAGTGAAGGGAGAGTTTGCCAACGCACTTCCCCTCGAGACTCGCCCGTCGTCTGTCCAAGTTGCGCCAACTAAAACTTGACGACTTGACGCACGGTGGAGGGTCGAGCTGATTAAAAACTTGCTACTTTGCTCAAAGCACAAGTGAGGAGGAGCTTGTGAAAAGGCTGGACGTTGCTTCTTCCCCCCTACATGTGGCTGTGTGTCTGAACTAGGGTCCCTTAGCGGGTCACTGTTTGACGAAATCAACATAAAACGTGCTCTAGCATATTACTTTCACGATTGTCAGGGTTTACACTACTGTGGATGGACGAAATCCTGCACAACCTAAGAAACCCTGGAGATGATGATCCCCTTGTAAATACCAATGAACAACGGTTTCCCATTGTTCCCAAGTGGTGCAGGATTTTGTCCATCCACAGTATCACATGCTACCCAAGAAAATGTCAGGTGTGGGGTGCCGCATTTGGCGCCCGCATTCCAACTGCGCCTGCAAAACTCCGCCCGGGCCGATTTTCCGCGGCCCCCCCACTTTGGGAAGGCAGTCGAAAGCCGCCCGCCTGGGGAGAAAAGCTTCAAATGGGCGTGGCTCAAAATTAAACGACCGGAGGGGCAAACCGCAGGTTTTGGTTCATATTTCCACTTACCAGGGCAGGCCATTTTGGAATTCCGGATTTTTGAGCCACGGCCAAATGTTCAAATGTCCCCTCGCCCGTGTCCCTTCCCCGAACGCAGCTGCCGGACACGGCCGGACGGAAGTCTCCTTGGCCCTCTGAAGCAGAAAGCTGCTCCTTATTTCGGAAGGTTTTCGGGTGGGAAAACTGGCAAGTCGATCTCACTTCGGGAACGCTTTGAATGACCATTGAATGATCTTTAGATGGCTCCGGAATAAAATTATTGGGATTTGGGATAGCTGTTGGATAGCAGGTTTTGTCTCAAAAGATACGCTTGTCCTTTTGGCATCCTTTCAAACCAACCCACAAAACGGTACCCTCAAAAAAGAGGACACGCCCTTCATGGACCTTCAAGGGAGGCTAGGGGGGCCTATCCATGCATAACCCAGAATAAGTCAAGGATCAGCCCTTAGTGAGTTGAGAAGGGCTAGCCCCCCTTTTTGTAGTCCGCCTTGGGTCCATGGGGGGCTTCTAGAAACATGGCCACTCCAAGTGGCTCCACTCGTTTTGACAGTCCCTGGCTCTCGCAGCCGACGCCCTGACGCCGCACTTTCGGCTCAAGAGGTGAAGTCCAGGTTGCCTCAAGAGCGCGGGGCTTTTCCAAAGCCGACGAAATCATCGCCGTTCTACACGCATCCATACCCCACGACAAAATGGGTGTGGGTCAAAATTAAACCACTAGGAATCGGACCGCAGGTTTTAGTCCATGTTTCCATTTACCAGGGTTCCATTTTGGGTACCTTTTTTTGACCCACAGTCAAATACCGTATAAGGTGTGTGTGTGTGTGTGTGTGTGTGTGACAGTGCCACAGCTGGCATAGCTCCACGCAAGCAGCGGATAGGCCGCATACTCTTCAGGCAGAAAGTAACCAAAGCAGCTTTGGACTTGTGATTTCTGGTTTTATCATCTTTAGCTGACCCCAGAGCAAAAGGCAGCTTGCATTGCTCCCCCGAAGGAGTGACATCATTTGGCAGGGGGTAGCCGAACCAATCGGTTGTCAACTCATAGCCTCGATGTCAACCTCGGATCTAAGCAGATCCCGGTGTTTTTCTTTGGGGGCCTTTTCCCCAAAGATAAAATAAATGTGTGTCGAAATGATTGAAAAGCAACTCAAAAGCAACCAACTATTTTGTTGAAGCTGGCCAATGAAGATGGGTGTGTAGTTTTGAGTCACTTCCTTTTCTGGGCTGTTTTTTTTCTGACCGGAGGTCCAGGGAACTCCTCAAGAGGCCCGTTTTCTCAGAGACCAACCGAATTTCTGCAACCACTCAAACGTTTGCGCGGCTGCGGTGCGCTCGTCAAGCGTCAAAAAGCTCTCCACTTCGTCCAGGGCTCTGAGCAGTGAGCCTTTTGTTCGCAATTCAAGCGGCTGTCGGGGAGGGGGTCCCAAGAGTGGGTCCCGGAACTTCCTTTTGGTTCCTTGAAGCAGCAACAAAAGAAATCCCGCCAAAGTCGTCGTCCTCCTCAAACTTGTAGGCGCCTTCCTCAAAAATTTTCCCCCCAACCAGAAATAGCATGTCGTCTGATTCTGGTGGCCCATATTTGACGAACCTTGATATGTCTAGTAGCTTAACAGTTACTTAACACGAGATCCCAGTTGCGCTGGTTGCTCTACTCTGGGCAAAAAAGAAGCAAGTTTCCCATGGGCCAAAACGCTGCTTCTCCCAAAACCCTCAAGACAAAACCAAAAACTCCAACCCAAAGGCCCAAAGGCCCAAAGGCCCAAAGACTCGCCCCTTCCCCCCCCCCCCCCGCCCCTTGCAGACGCCGCCGACTCGCAGACGCCGCCGACTCGCCGGACTCGGGGCCCCGGCTGATCTGCTTCACGGAGGCGCGCTTGTCCACCCGCTTCCCACCCCAGGACTTCACCTCGCGAACCCAACGGACGGAGCCTCGCGGCCCAGGAGCCGAGCTGGGGGACTCCATAGGCCGCGCTTGCGGGGGAGAACAAACAAACCCACCGGACTCGGTGCCAGGGTTTTTTTCGGACCAATGTGCAAGACAAGCCTCGATGAGAAAAGCAGTTCTCCGGGTTCCGTGGCGACGTAGTCTGCTGTTGGTTTCCCTTTGAAGGTGGCCAGTTGGGTATGTCTCACAATACGGGGACCCAAACAAATGTAAAAATGAGTACCCGAGACTCAAACAAATACACCCCCAATGTTTCCAACCAACACCGGTTGTGCCCCCGGTTCTTTTGGACATTGGGCAGGATTGTCCCCCTCCCCCATATTCTCTTCAAATCGACAACAAACTAATAGAAATTGGGTCAGCTCACAAAGCCTACTACTTCAAGAATCGATAGAAACCTTTCGCTGCCTGACGGCAAAGTGAGAAAGGCTTCCTGCGACCTGACCTCCAAGAGGTGGACAAGTGGGAACATTCCGCCATGGAATTCCAGCGGGTTAAAGCACTGAAGTAAGAGCTTGTGCTTTTAATCCTCAAACCTTTCTGAGATGTAGAAGGGGGCCCGAAGAGCTATCACAAAAAGGGGCATGTGCAATTTGCCTTTGCCAAAGACTCGAAGGCCTCGGGCCTTCGTTGACGAGGTCGTCTTTTTTTTTCCCGGAGCGGTGTCGCTAGAGACTGGCCGAGTTGGGGGCTCCCAGTTCGTTGCGCCCAGTGGCGTGGGAGGCGGTGGAGCTGTCGATGAAGGGGTTCACGCAGTCCCGGTCGTCCTTCAGGGAGAAGGTGGCCTGGCGCTTCGTCGCGCGCGCTGGGAGGAGGGAAAGGAAATTGCACGCAAATCTCCGGGATTCCTGGCAAGCCACGACTCATAGCAAGTAAGTAAACAGGAACTACGTGATAGTAGGTAACTAAGGGTAGGTAACTAAGGGTAGGCAACTGAGGGTAGGTTCGGATAGCAAATCGACTTTTATGGCAAAGGAAAACAAAAGGACACCCTCCGGTTGTCTACCCTTGCATTTCAATCTTCTTTTAAAAGAACGGAACAACCCTGTTCAGAGGCCCAAGTTCGACAAGCAGTCCGACCCTGAATGGATCCACCTTACAAGCAGCGGTTTGGATTGGTTGAACGAGCGCCAGGGTTCAAATCCCCCAAACAAGTCCAAACCCTTGAGAAGTGTTGTGCTTGAGGCTTGGACGTGAGGAGAGAAAGGGCGTCTTTAGGGCTGAAAAGAAGACTTGGGGTCCCAAACCGAAAGTTTGTCAGCTCCCAAAGCAGGCCGGAAAACAAAGCTTGGGCCGAAGAGAAGATTACATGGGCTTCTGGTATGACCCTCTGTCCCTTTCATATGCATCCTAACAAAGCAAGTACATAGTTTGCTTGCACCTTCCGTAACAAAACCACAAAGGCTAGGGGCCCACGGCAATGGCCATCTATCGCTTGCAGGACGAAGTAGATTAAGCCTCGAACCACTTCCTATCAGCCAGCTGAGAAGACTCTGAGAAGAACCAGGTGCAGCAGCTATGCTGAGTGGGAGTGCTCGTTCCAGGACGCCAACGTGAAAGCTTTGGGCAGTTGTTTGGCATCCAAGATGGTCCGGTTGTAAAGGCTTACATACACCGCCTGGCAATCCCCAAGCCGGAAATAGGCCACTACCAACCTAGCGAATGACAGTTCTTGCTTCCACTATGCACGGCGGTTTGAACGATCAGTATAGAGAAACAAAAGGTCCAAACGCCCTAGAAAAAGTGAGCGACATGTGCCAGGCATAGTGGTTGGGCCAGGGCTTCCATGGGCTTCCTTTCATTCTCCCATCGGCTCAAGGGGTTTTATGTGGCAACAGAACAAAATAGATCCTGCTGGAGCCCCCTGTTCCGGCCCAGTCAGGCCTGGCCCATCTTCATCTTTCGCGCGTTCTTCTTCCGATTGTTTTCGCCGTCTTGAACCTCTCGCCCGGAGCCAGATCACAAGGGCGTTCCACTCAAACAGGAAAGTGGGGCTTGTTTGTTTGCTAGCTATGCTTTTTCATGTTTGTGAAAGAATAGATTTTTTTCACATCCGTTTTGTCTGCCCCACAGTTGTTTAGTGGGGCTTCTTTGCTGGAACGCATCCAAATGGATACCCTCACAACCCTCATGGCGAAAGCCTGCAGTCTCTTGAAAAGAGCTTCCTCTTCCAAGCGAGGCAGAAGCCAAAGGCAACCAGTTGAGTGTCCAAAGGAACCCCACCAAAGAATCCAAAGGAAACCAAAAAAAATGGGGGGCGGGGCGTTCAAAGGCAACCCACAAAAAACATCCAAAGGAAACCAAAACTTTGGGGGGGGATCCCTCCAACATGCGAAGCCACTTTGTGCCTGGTGACCAAAGCACGCTGAAGCTTTAGGCCGCGAACAAAACTCGGGCCGGTTGGGAGGGCAGGGCGCCAAGAACCAGCAGTCCGAACCCCCCAAACCACCACTCCAAACCACCAATCCAAGCGTTCAATATACAAGGGTGCGCACTAAGAAGAAGAAGAAAAACGGCACAGTTCTTTGCCAGGTACCGGCCCCTTCGGGCCTTCGGGCCTTGCTCCAAACGGCTGGCGGCCTAAGCCGTCCCCACTGCACGGCTGAGGGCCCGGCGCCCGCCCGCTTGCGATCCCGCAGCTTCGCCTTTTCCAGGGCGTCCAGCACTTTCTGCTCCTCCTCACACGCAAGCCATCGACTGATGGAGGAAATCCGTTCCGCACCACGAAATGAAACCCTGGTTGAAACCATAACCTTCGTTGGCCTTACAGGGGAATCATCCGAAACCAGGGTTTCTGAGGTGGTGCAGGATTTTGTCCACCCACAGTATGCGGTCCCCATAGTGAGTCCAATATTTTCTGTTAATGCAGAGCTCGTCCCCCACGCCCTCCCAAATTCCACCGGTGAGTGGTCTCCCCCATGTTCACAAAAGGACACCCGTTTGCTTTTGGTTGATGTGGGAAACCCTCCACAAACCCCAAAAGGGGTGGAACGCACTGGACAAGCGGAATACTGCCACATGGAACTGGACGAATCCAACGAGGCATCTTTCAAGCGCTCCAAAGCTTGCTTGGAGGGAACAGAAATCAGCCCACATGTTGTCAAATGAATCCCACGCCTATAGGATGCAAACCTCACCCCCACCCTCAACTTCTCTCGGTTCCCTCAAATAGGCCCCAACCATCTGCATCGGGCGGCGTGTTGGCGACATGGCGCACGGGAAGCAGCCCAAATGACGTTTGTTGCATGGGCTTTCTTTTTGGGCAAACGCACATCAGCCACTTTGGGAGTCGGACGGGGCGACAAAAAAGTGGGGGGGCAGCTTCTGCCCCGTTGGGTCTTTGTTGGGGGAAGGGGAAAGAACATGAATGAGAGAAGACTTGAAGTCAAATGGGTGTTTGCTTTAAGCGACCAAAAAATGTGAGATGTGGGAAGATATGATATGATGGGAGTTCATGTTCACTGACATGCCTTTCGTTCACTTCCTTATGTCAAGAGCGGAGAAATCAGATCAACGATTGGTCCTGAGAGCTTGAAAGGAAAGTGATAGATAAATGTGGCAAGAGATGCAGAAAAGAAGGCGAGAGAGAGAGACAGAGACAGACTCAGAGACATAGACAGAGACAGAGACAGAGACAGAGACAGAGACAGAGAGAGAGAGCCAGAGACGATCAGAGTCTTGAGGGGATTCCTTACGTCATAAGCTATTAACTCTTTTCCATTTCCTGTCATGTTCTAAGCCCATCCCTCTCATTGAGAAGCATGGACAAAATATTCAACCCCCAAGCCTCTTGAATCTTTTCTCACCCCACATCCACAGTAGCGAAAAGGCCAAAACCATGGACATTTGAGGTTTTTGACCACCATGTAACCATCTCTACTCTTGGTATGGTAGCGAAGAACTTTCTTTTCTGCTGACTTCCAGTAAAAATGAGCAGAACCAAAAAACCAAGAAACCGAAAAACATGCCAAGAACGGTGAAGTAACCATTTGAGGGTGTCATTTTTGGAGGATACCCCAAATGGTATAAAGCCGCCGTTTCGCGTGCCTCGGTTCTCACCGGCGGCTTGGAGAGGACTGGCCTACCGGTCGACGGACGACGGACGGTGTGGCTTTCAGAATACGGTTTAAATGTTCTGTTGGATTCCGCCTCCCAAACACAACATTCTACTCTTTTGGTCGTTGAATTTCAAAAAGGGGGGTGGATCAGAAACACCTGAAGTCCCAAAATTAATGGAAACGAGCTGTGCCGAAAAAACAAAAGGGGGGGGGGCTGGGACGTCCAACAGCAAGCCTTTCTGGGTAGGTGTCCAAATGGGTCTGTAAAGTCATAGGTTCCCCCGTATCCTCCCCCCGAATTTGAGTTTGAACATTTGGGAGGGGGGATAGGGGGTAGGACCGGGGGGGCGGGGGTTACATAACTAACCTATGAAAAAGGGGAATGTACTGGAAATCGAGAATGCCCTTAAAGCCCCAAAACCCTTGAGGAGACCCAGCGCTTTCGCTGATCTTACGTGTCATGCACGTCAGGTTGTGGTACTGGAGCTGCCTGGCCATCGTTTTGCCAAGTCTGAAGGAAGACAAAAAGTTCAACCGTTGGGCGTCCTACTGATGGGAAGCGACCTCCGCTCGCACCACTAAGCCACGGGAAGCCAAAGTTGTCACCGCAGGGCTTAGGTAGTGCCGGATTTCCATCTGCAGTATTTTGAGAACACCCGCAATGAGAATGTTACAATGCTACAAACTCGGAGCCTTCTTCAATCTGTCCAAAAGCCAAAACCATGAGTCTGCAAGTCAGTCTTTTTCGGCCATCTCAAACGATAACCACAGGTCGCACACGACTTGACTTGCCCTCTTGGTGGTTCCCAACTTTGCTTTGGAGAAATCACAAACAAACGGCCTCTTTCCGCCCTCATTCCTCGACCCCGCCACCCACAACCTCGAGTCCACCAAAGCAAATTTCGGCCCCTTATACCAGGTGCCCTTAAGCAGCTTGAGTCTCTCAACAATACTTGACAAGGGAACCTTGAGCGCAAGCACTCCTTTTCAGCACACGGGGTAGAGCATCAAGGTAAGGAAAGGTCCTTCTTAGAAAGGGGGGACCCTAAAAGGGAGAAAAGGGTTCACACCCTGAAAGAGGGGGGTCCCCCAAGAAGGCCTCAGGGGGTGAGGGCAGGCAAGCACCCCACCCGAACCCAGACTGAAAGGCAAGCCACATGGTGTGGCTCGCGTAGCCAATAAGCTACTTGGTATAGTAGGCATAGCCACTCACTCGTCCAACCTGGGTGGGTGGGTGGGAGAAAAATCTAAGGCCCTGAAATTGGAAGGAAAGGAAAGGTTTGAGCCTCAAGCTGCAACTCAACAGTTAAGGGCACCCGTATAACGCCGCGAGTGCAAGCACTAGCAATCCTTATACCAGGTGCCCTTAAGCAGCTTGAGTCTCTCAACAATACTTGACAAGGGAACCTTGAGCGCAAGCACTCCTTTTCAGCACACGGGGTAGAGCATCAAGGTAAGGAAAGGACCTTCTTAGAAAGGGGGGGACCCCAAAAGGGAGAAAAGGGTTCACACCCTGAAAGAGGGGGGTCCCCCAAGAAGGCCTCAGGGGGTGAGGGCAGGCAAGCACCCCATGTCGAGAACTCGCACGCACCCCCTGTAAACTGAGTGCTCGACCGTGTGAAGTGACCTGAGGCGGCACAAACGGATTGAAACGGAAAACACATACGTGTGAATAAAGGCATGAGAGGACGCTATGTGCACTTCATGCGCAAGGAAAGAAACGGTACAAGAGCAAGTAAATTTTACAGCTGCAGCTCGCTCCATAGACTGTTCCAAATGCTTGGTGTAACGTGGGACTTCTGGGATTGAAAGGAAAGTAACTGAGTTTCATTGCCTCGACTCGGGGCATCGGCAACATTCACCTCGGTAGGGACCCGATGGATCCATGTATCGAAGGTCATCCGTTGCTCAAGGCGTAGGAAGTGTTGGACAAGCTGGTCGGCCGCATGGTTGTCGCATGACATGCGAATGAGAGAATGAAGTGCAGCTTCGTTGTCCACATGAAAGAAAATGGCCGTGCCTGAGAGCAGGTCTGGCCAGAGGTGAAGTGCCACCAAAATGGGAAGGATCTCGAGGTGCAAAATGCAGTGAGATCCAAAGGTTGTAAGTACTGAAAGAGCCGGGGGCTCAAATGAAAAGTGAAAGCGGGGATGCCCAAAGAAGTCCACGAGGACGCCTCCTATGGAGGGCTTGGAAGCCTCCAAGGCACCATCTGTAAACAAATGCCAAACGAGGCGGTCCTTGCTGCTGACTGCTCTTGGCATGGAATTGACAAGAGACTGCAAACAGCGCTGTAAAATCCTCACAAGCGACGGAGGGGCGCGAGAGCCTGGTGCCAGGGCAGAAAGCTCATGCAGAGAAGAGAGGCATCGTGAATGGTATCGTCCCGATAATTGACCGTGCGCAAACTGCATGCGGCCTCTCAATCTGCGAGCCTCTTTGGGTGAAAGGGAATGGCTTGTCAAAAGCTCTTGCAAGCTAGAAGCCAGGAGATGGATTCGGGCCTCGGTGTTCGCCACTTCGAAGACCCCGGAAACTGCTCGCGTGAGGTTGAAGGCAACCCCAAGCGCCTGAAACACGGCTGCAAACGGTGGGTTCTTGGAGGGCTTGTCACTGACCTGGAAACCCAACAATGTGAACAAGGACTTGATCAGGTGCGTGGCAGCGTTGGCGAGCGGCTCGGGCACCACTGTCGGGAAATCGTCATAGAAGCAGGTCCAGGGCAGGCGAAAAAGGCGAGCGCCAAGCGCATGAATGGCTAAGCTAGTGCGCAAAAAGGCGTAAACCGAGGCTGAGCTGCCAAATGGCATAGTCAGCATACGGTAGCACCTCGGGCCATGCATGGGCTCGTACACGCAAATGAACGAGTGTGTTCGGTGCGCAGGCGCAATCGCCAGCTGACGGTATGCGTCCTGAAGGTCGAAGGCTCGTCCACGCCAGGGCACCTTATTGTAACTGCAACACCGCTTGAGCAAGGCAGCGATAAAATCAGTGTCATGCAGGACGACCTTGTTGGCGGAACCGACGGCAGAGTTCAAAAGATTGAACGTAAAGTCGTCAATAGGCCTGCATTTGTCAGACTGCAAAACATAGAAACGCGGGCTGATGACGGAAGTGCTTGGCACGTCCGGGGCCAAAAAGGGGCCATCTAGCCAGCCCTGCTGCAATTCCGCAAGTGTAGTGTCAAAAAGTGTCTGGTCAGCTGCTGGATCATCTGTAGGCTGACAACGGGCCAAGGCGCGGGCCTGCAACGCTGGGGCCATGCGCTCTAAGGAGGCAATATCCACCGCAGGTGGCTGTGGATGCCTGGGCAGCTCCATTGACTCAGGAAGCCATCCAAACAATGGAAAACCGGCAGCTAGCTCGTCAGCGATGGCAGTGTCCTGATAACCAACGGTCTGCAGGACGTGCTTGAGCAGCAAAGTGCGCTTCTTGGCGTTGATGCGCGCAACATGGGCATCGCACGAGGCGAGCAACTGCTTCTGACGCGGAGCAAACTCTTCGGCCAGCTGAAGCAAGGATCGGAGCCTTTCTGCCCAGAAGGACAGGGCATCATGCGTGGGACATGTTGCAACGAAGTCGACGGCCTCCTCCAGAAATCGGCCGAGAGGGGGCAACATGTTGGCTGGGTGCTGCACTCCACTCATAGAATGCATGTGCTGCACAGGGTCCTTAGGGCATGCAACCCAAAACTGATCTGGAGCAGCTTCTGGCGGGTGCAAAGGCAACACGGAGCCTTTTGGCCAAGGGCCGGCCGGTAGCCGCTTGCCGCGAAGCCACGCTGCGTCGAAAAGGCTTCGCGGGAACAACTGCAAATCAAAGGGAGACGGCAAATTTGGAAACACCCACGAACGAGGCTGAAACTTCACTGCAGCTCGAAGGAATAATGCATCATCCCTCCAGTGTGGCAGCGCCTGGCCTAGAACCATCGGCCGGGGGCGGCTGTGCGGAGGCAAGGAGTCCCTCAAACATAGGCAAATGGCTTGGCAAAAGGGAAGTGGGTAAGCGGCTTCCTCGGCGGTATGAGTGCCGCAGGAATCTTTCCACGGGGCATGGGAATGGTTGCCGTCACACGTGCGGCAAAGATTTTGCAACCAGGTGGGAGTACCCTTCAGGACAGCGCGCTTGCGGCGAGCACCCCCATAAGCGCAAAAGTGGATCTCGGTCTGCGAATGCTCTGGGAGTGCGCTCATCATGGAAGTGTCCCACATATAACTGCGAGCAGGGTTCTCGATAAGCCATGGTATGCCGTGCTGGCTGCACATGCCAGCGACAGCGGCCGCGAACGCATAAAGGCTGTTGGCACTGGTCACCCTAGCGAGGTCATGGCCTTGAAGTGAAGGCAAACCGTCTGGATGCTGGCCCGAACGGAGCGGGTGCGCAATGCGTCTCCCATTGCTGTAGGCTGGAATATCCCTCGCGCGGGAAGCAGTGCCGCACGGGGGTGCAAGCACCACCAGGGCCGGCAGCAAGCACCGGAGTGTGCTGAGCAGCAACTGTTGGGCGCCAGGCTCGCGCAAGTCCAACTGCAGAACATGCCACCGCTTTGCTGGTACATGATCCACTGCTACTGACTGAAAACCCATGGAGACGGCTGTGGAAGAAAAGTTGCACGAACCTGCAAAGATCTCGACCACACAGGGTGCGCGGCCCTCAGGGCTGCGGGCAGGTGTGCAAACAGAGGGACTGGCCGAGGAAGCGAGATCCTCGGAAAGGCCGGAGGCCGAAGGAAAGGCATGGTCACTGGCAGGGCAAGGCCCGGTTAAAGGCCGGGCACAGGGTGCTGGGGTCTGTGTGCCCGAAATATGACCGTGAAAGGAAACTGTGACCGGAGGAACGGCGGGGTGCACAGGGGCACACCCGCCAGGCACAGGGGCCGAGGGAAAGGCACCCGTAAGGGGAGCACTGGGCCGCACAGGGGCAGACCCAGAAGGCACAGGGGCCTTGGGAAGAGCTTCTCGGGGAGAAGCGCTGGGCCGCACAGGGGCAGACCCAGCAGGCACAGGGGCCTTGGGAAGAGCTT